CGCTACTGCAAGAGCAATGATGGTCATCGCAGCGCAACTAGCACAGCAAGAACAACAAGAGGTAGAAGAAGCGGCTCGGTGAGCATCATAGACGTACTCCGTCCCCCAACCAGGAGCAGGAGGAGGAGGAGGAGGAGGAGGAGGAGGAGGCGATGAAGGCTCCTCCAGCGAATGTTCACAGCGCCCCTCCGAGAAAGAACGACTTGCCTTGCCCTGAAACCGATTGTTCTGCCACATCCCCTCGTACTTGCTGCCATCTTGCATCGACAGGGTCCCATATCCTGCTCCACCACTCACAAGCCTGTAAGAACGGCCCACTACCCTCTCACCGTTCTTCACTCCCCGCTCAAACTCTCCCTGATACCGCGTCCCGTGGATCGAGCAGCGCTTCTGCTTCACTCGTCATGCCTCATGCACCGCAAACTTCCCCTGCTACCGCTGAAGGCGAGCCTCTCGCACTTGCTGCAGCAGTCTGTCAGCTTTCATCTGCCCCAGCTCTCGCTCCTGACCTTGAAAAGAGTCTACGCTCAAGATCCCTCTCTCCCTGCCGGGGGTTTGACACCTCATGTCCTTGCAAGAAGCCTTCAGAACAAGTTTCTTCATCCCTCCCCCAACCTCGATCGCATCGTTCCACATGTAACTCCCTTGCCCGTGCATCAGGTCGTTTTCCCACTGCCCCTCGTAAACGTCTCCATTCTTCCATATGCAGATCCCCTATGGCACCGTCACCCTCCTCCTCCTCCTCCTCCCTCCTCCTCCTCCTCCTCCTCCTCCTCCCGCCAGCATCCCAACTTGGTTGTCTACCTGCCCGTGTGCCTTCCCATCGATCACTTCACCCTGATACTGCGCGTCGTCCATGCGAACGATCTGAACACGATAGCTCACAATCCTGGCACAGCAGAAGCGAACACTCACATTCTCCCTAGACATGCGGCCAGGAAGAGAGCTCTGAGGCTACAAACAGTCAGAGCTACTCACACAGTGGTGTCTTACTCGGCTCGTTTCCTTGCTCGAACTAGAGTTCGGTTGGAGCTCCGTCGTCTTGCCATAGCTCACTCTGCTGTGAGGCCAGCACAGCTTCAGGTATGTGGCACAAGCTCAAGCTCAGTCATCGTGTTCACCTCGATCTGTTGGAGCCCTTGCGTCCGTTCACTTTCTTCCATTCACTTTGGTGTTAACTGACGTCCTCGAGATAGCGATCAAGAATACCTGCGTGCTCCGAGCACGAGTCAGCTCTGTCGATGCCATGGCCGAAGCTTCGTTCGCTGCTTTCTGTATCGATTGAATCTAGCGCAGGCTATCAGGAAACAGGCAACAGATCACGGGAAAGACGCGAGAACCATCGGTCCCTAATCGGTACCGACGAAGAATCATGGGACACGCTGATACTGGAGCTGCTGCTGAGAACCTCCGACTAACTTGTTGCAGACTTGCTCTCCTCGTCCATCTTCTCCTCCTCCTCCTCTAGCCTTCACTCTCCTCAGCCGCCTCCCTGCGCTCCTCGACATTCCCACCTTCTGTCGCCCCTGCATCTCACCGACTCGATGGTCGCCCTGGTCAATCTTCAAGTACTCTTGGGGTGGGGTCATTACTTGAGCATGAGTGTTTAGACCGGGTAATCTGAGTGACTTTTACGATATTTGGATAAGGTAGGGTGGTAAGCAGGAGGGGTCATACCTGCGGTTCAGGCCAGAACTGACCGAGCCCCTCATACAGCCCCCAGTTCCCCAAGTCAGCCGTCAAAAGCATCAAAATAGATACAGTTTGACTAGCTGTCTTCGATAAGGCGTGCAAGGTACTGAAACCATGCATGTTTCGCGATAAATGTATCTATGAACTGCTCGGCAACGCATTTTATCCAAAGACATTCATGTTCACCTTCATGTGCATCATCTACACACATTCCACCTTCAACACACATTCCACCTTCAAGGCTTTGGATTGAACTTATATTTGGATTGAACTTATATTTTCATCTAGACTTCCCTATTTCTTCACTCCTATCTCTCTCCTCTCTAGTGCATATGATCATGATGTTCCAATCCCTCCTCCTACCATTTGCTTCTGTTACTCTACTCCCCCCTCCCCCCCCCTCCCCCTCTCCCATGCCTCATCCCTTACATTGTCCCACTCTAACCATCCCTCATTCATTTTCTTTCCCTCCTGTGATAGGTCTCAACTCTCTCACTCTCCCCTCCTTCCTCGGCATTCATGATGGTTTCTTCCGAGCCTTTCCTCCCACTCTCCACAGGTTCTGCTTGCGACTATCAGTCTTGGTTGGTCTGCGCTCTCTGGCAAGCATCCATTTACCCCAACCTATCTTGTCCGCGTCTCTCTTGTCATCTTTATTCATAGCAAGCTTTCAGTTCCACTCAGTTCTCTGGCAAGTTTCTCATTAACATCACTGCATAGCTCCCGGCTGAGCTGTCAGTCACAGCGGGTTCATCAGGCTGCGACTCCTCACCGGGGCCACCTGTCACATCATCTGCTGATGCGTCTGCAACAATCTGTTCAGACGTTGGTGCAACGCCTTGACTGCGATTGTTTCTCCATACAATTCCCAGATTCTTGTAGTAAGTAATGTACGAATATGAACAGAACTGTTTCCGCGTGCCAAGGTCCACCCATGCGTCTTTCCCATAAACTGTCTCAACCACTTGACGAAATCCTGTACTGTAACATTGCATCAGGTTCTGCGGCACAATCTCTTCTCCTTGTCCCAGTACCCCCCGTTCCCGGCAAATCCTTTCCACTTCATTCATGACCACCCTCGCTTTGTTGATGTTCCTCCTTGTGTTGTAGTCTGTGATGTCATCCCAGTATTGTTGAAGCAGAAGGTATTTCAATGGCCGGATCCTCCGCACTTGACCTTTGTCGTCAATTATGTCCTGTCCAATATTCCACCACATGAACATGCTCCTCGTCGGCACCCGCAATGGGAAGGTAAAGTTGCTTGGAACCATGTGCTTACCCTGTCCATCCATCTCCCCTTCCCAGTCGAAATCGTCTCCCCCTACCTCCAATCCGCTGCTCGCACGTAGCACTGCCTGCCCACTGCCAATGGATTGGTTCGGGTTCACTTCTTGCTCACCTCCATGTCCATCGGCTGGAGAATCCAGCCTCTCAGGCTCCATCATGTCCCTCGAATCATTGTGGGCGGCCACTCGGTCACCTTGTATCGCGGGGATGTTTGATGTGCCCAGAATTTTCATCAACTCTGCCCTTATCAACTCTTTGATACTCTCCGTTTGCTTCTGAATCTGCGCCTCTACCACGTTCTTGACGATACCTTCGATTCCTGCCATCACCTGGCCCAATACACCACCACTGCCCATACCTGCATCTGTCTCAATTCCCCGCATCCTCGGTCTGTTCGTGGCACTACACTGTCCACTGCATGTTGTACCACTGTTGCTGTTTGACAAGAATAGTTCCTGTGCCTGCCCTGCCACCGTATCATCCCTTTCTGTACTTCGAACAACAGTGAATGGAAGTGCTGAACCGGTGAAATGTGCCCTCATCTCCTGCCTGATTTCTCCCAATTCCCTCAAGATGTCAGTCTTGGACGGGGTTCCACTGGCGGTCATCCCACATTCTGTACATCTGTGCACGGGTACGACAACCTCTTTTCGAAGCAACATGAGTCTTCTTATCGTGTCCGCACCGAAAATACCAAACATAGGCATCCCCCATATGAAATGATCATTGTCAGGATACCATCCTTGTAAGGTAGGGAGATGATACAGAATGCTCGCAAGGAAGAATTCGGTACATTTCTTAAAACCGTTCGGAAATTGCTCGTATCCATCGATGAAACGCTCCCAGCCTATCTGTTTAACCTGTCTCAACCCTTCCTGTGTGAAATGCGGAGGTAAAACCCCAAAATTGGCCGTGGTGCTATCGTTCCCTGCCAGTATTCTTCCCGCGAACTGATCTCCTCCCGTCCCACCAAGAATGTATCGATCCTGTGTATCTCCTAAACATAATTCACTCAGTATGATGACGTGAAGTCCAACTCCCTATATGTCATACCTATCTTCCAGTTGGCCCTTATGTACACTGTTGGTGCTCCTGAACATGTTAAGATCAGCTGCCATTCCAGATTGATAAAACATCATACCTGGGCCATCCAGCATCCCTAGAAGGTGGGAAATACTACCCTTTCTTAGCGATTGCGTGCCAGGAATTCCAAAGTTGTCAGGTTGTTCCTCGCGTAAAACCCTTTTCAAAAGCTGTTGAAATCGATGTTTTTGGTCCCTCCCAATCAACAATTTGCTGCCTTGCTCTGGCATGCAAATTCCTCTGCATGCGAAGGTGTAAAGCCCAAGAATGAGGATCGGGCAAATTTCAGGGCTGTGCGGAGCAGCGAAAACATGTTTCACACGAGTGCTATTCATATCCGTGCCTATGCCTGCTTGGTCCGTTCTAGTCGGAAGCAACACTACTTTCATAGCGTCTTCTTCCCACGACAGGTGTTCCAAACGAAGGATGTCCAGTGACACACTCCGACACACCAGGTTCCACATAAGGTTGGTGCATAGCCAACCGAAAATCCATGAGTCCCCGGGTTCTGTGCTCCCCCTGCGAGGTTTGATCTGTCTCACAAAGTTGCACAGCATTCGATACTGCTGCATGTTGATGACTGTTCGACCTTCTTCCATGGACATTATCCCTTTGCTCTTCTTTTGTGCGACCACCTCCTTGTGTGACTGCATAATGTCCTCCAGTTCAAGGTCCAATGAAACATCTTTTGGTATCCCCGTCGCTGTGAACGGTATCTTCCTTCGCTTGTACAGATATTTCAAAGCACTTTTGTACCCTCGGATGGTGGACATCGCAATGGTTGCTTTCTCTGATGCTTTTGTGGAAGCAGATCCTTCACCATTCTCCGCAACGTCATCTTCGTCTTGTCCATCCCCTTCGCCGATGTCTTGGCTGTTGTGCATAGACGATGACGCGGCTTCTTCCGACGCTGTTGATGCGGTGCTATGATGGTTACCAGTTTGACCTCGTGGTCTCTTCCTTGCTCGGGCCAATTGGTCATTTCCAGACAAATATCGGAAAAAAGCGAGAAGTGGTTCATATGGAAGTGGTACCTTCAAATCATCCAAAGCTTCAGTCAAAGCGCAATGATAAGCTGTAAAGGATTTGAAGAAAAGGATCATGGCGAATATCCGATATGCATAGGTTTTCTGCGTGCTGATGTTGACTCCGTGCGATTCTAAGTTCCTGAATGCTTGCACGTTGCTGTCACTGTTCGTTGCCATCGGTGTGTTGGGATCATTGAAAACGGACAGTATGTCAGACTCGTCATCTTCACGCATCCGTTTACGTGGCCTGCCAACCACCCCAAGCCTCTTGCCTTTCTGACATGTTCCGCAATAGTCCCCTCGATCGCTATTAGCACGTTGGAAGGCGCATAAGATATGGAATTTTTTTTGGCAACCTCGGCATACCTTCAACTGTGCATCATCTCTTTCCTGCAACTGACAATCAGGTCCAAATAAGCATGTATTGCCATCTTCAGTCGCCATGTCTTCCTATCTTGTTGCTGCGTGCTTTCCGTTCCGCTGGTATATTGCGATGTTTTGCCCCAATCCTGAAACATGAATAGGTAAGTCTGGTGTAACATTGAAAGAAATGCTTTGCAAACAGCAAGAAATGAGTGCATACCGGATGATGAAGGATGAAATCAGTTCGAAGGCGATAATGGTATGCTTGTGATTGTGATGGTACTTTCAAAAGGTTACCCTCATCCTCTATCGACTTGTTTTTCTTGGTTTTGAATTCCCTTGTAGGACCGGTCCTATTCATAGTTTTAACCCCCCCCCCCCCCCCCTCCCCCCATCTGGACCCCTCTTTGTTTTAGGAGCCCTTTTTTCAAATTTTACCCAAAAAAAGAATCCTAAGCTTTTTTGGGGAGCCTGGGATTTTGTATTCCACACTCGACGGTCACACGCCTTGATAGACTCGATACGGAGTCCGTGGGCATTCCAGTCAAAACCAACGTGACATGCTGACATACCACCCCACCCAATAATATACTTTTCGTTAGTTGGAGCGGTTGAGATATATTTTCCAAGAAGTCTGAAGGGCGCCCCTGTGAACCGAGCAGAAAACAAGAGAGGGACAAAGCTAGTGAACGAGAGATCGGTGGGAAGAGAAAGAGAGCCAGCAGGATCAACAAGTTGAGACACCACAGCCAGCAAGACAAACTTGGAGCATCTCGTACAACAGATCGTCTCCCTCTTGAAAAGCATGACGACTGGACACTCTTCTTCGTCTCCCGCCGCTTGCCTTGCTGTCAAGATCGTTCCCCGCAAGCGCAAGTTCGAGTCCCGCAACCGCCGCCCCCCCACTCTCGACTCCGCCGACGCCGTCCGCGCCCTCATGCACCTCAGCCAGCGGGAGGCAGCGGAGCAGCTCGACATCTCCCTCACGGCGCTCAAGAGCGCGTGCAAGAAGATGGGGATAACGGGCTGGCCGTACACGCGCAAGGAGAAGCTGGCAGCCGCCAAGGAGCAGCAGGCGGAGAAGGAGAGCGCGTCATTGATGGAGGAGGAGGAAGAGAGGGAGAGTCTGACGAGGATATTCCGGACATGGCGGACGATGGAGATGCTGGAGGAGGTGATAGGGCTGATTGAGTAGCAGAGGGAGTACCTTACAAAAGGGGCCATCTACCAAAGGTGTCTCTGCGCTGAGAGGTGCCCTTTTTTTTTGCTGGGTGTAGTTGAGATTATACCACTTGTTATTCATAAAGCTTTAGTGTCTTTTGAACTGATTGTTGAACATTCTCTGCACACTGTGTAAGTTTCAACACGACCAACGAAGCTAGGGAGGTTCCGAATCGCTGAACGCAACCACGTGATAAGCATCCTAACATTGCTGGAGCAGAAATGATGAAGTCTGTTGTTGTTCATCATTTCCTCGGACATTCCAAACAGAGTCCTTCTTTCGCCTACTTTTCTTCTTTCGATTCATTGATAAATATACAGCTTGTTCCCTACAGCTGCATGATTGTCTTTGCATCAGGGGAACGTTACAAAGGTGTCGCAAATGAAGACGACGCAGCAGCTGCTGCTTTTGCATCTGCAACCACAACAGATGCAGCAACGGCAGGATTATTGTGTACAGGAGGAGGAGCAGCAGCAGTATTATGAGCAGCAGCAGGCAGCAGCATTATGAGCAGGAGCATTATGAGCAGGAGCAGGAGCAGGAGCAGCATTATGAGCAGGAGCAGAAGCAGCATGATGAGCAGGAGCAGGAGCAGGAGCAGGAGCAGGAGCAGGAGCAGGAGCAGGAGCAGGAGCAGGAGCAGGAGCAGGAGCAGGAGCAGGAGCAGGAGCAGTGAATGGAGCTTCAATATTGTTGAATCGTTACTAAATCCTCTTCTCCCTCCCACTAACCCCCATCAGAAGCAGAGCAAGAAACCTTGCATTCCATAAAGTTTGTAATACAAAAATAAATCGCGAGTGGAGTCTAATCACAACAGTTTCATGTCTCGCCTTTCTTGTATCCCTCCCTCTGCTACTCAATCAGCCCAATCACCTCCTCCAGCATCTCCATCGTCCGCCACGTCCGGAATACCCTCGTCAGACTCTCCCTCTCTTCCTCCTCCTCCACCAACGACGCGCTCTCCTTCTTCGCCTGCTGCTCCTTGGCGGCCGCCAGCTTCTCCTTGCGCGTGTACGGCCAGCCCGTTATCCCCATCTTCTTGCACGCGCTCTTGAGCGCCGTGAGGGAGATGTCGAGCTGCTCCGCTGCCTCCCGCTGGCTGAGGTGCATGAGGGCGCGGACGGCGTCGGCGGAGACGAGGGTGGGGGGGCGGCGGTTGCGGGACTCGAACTTGCGCTTGCGAGGAACGATCTTGAGTGAGGAGGGATATGATAGGTTCATACCAGTGGGAAAAGTACAGGAAGGAGGAGAAGGAGCAGTAGGTTGGGGAGAGGATGGGGAGGAGGAGGAGGACGGGTGATTGAAGGGAGGAGGAATCGATGATGTTTCAGTATGCATTGCTGCGAGGCGTAGCTGCGAGAGGTAATTATTATATTTTGGAAATTTTTTGTTGTTTCGAGAACCCCACCCACTCGATGCGTATTGAGACAAAGAGGTCCAGAGGACCCCCTTGTTCGCCTGGTTTCCACAGGGGTACTCTATCATAAAATAGATATAAGTGGGGGATAGTTATTTTTCTATAACAGTTTTAAGAATACCGCACCAAACCAGGATATGCCTTAAACCCATCCGTAAAACTCTACCTCTCGAATCGTTGCGTTGTGAGAGTCAAGGCAAAACTGCCCCCCGTAAAACATTGTAATCATTAACAGTCCCATTCAATCATTGCGTTTTGAGGTACACACAGCTGTTTATAACGCAGAACAATCCACAGCAAACAAAGGACAACAAAAACAGACCATGGCATCAAACTCCAATACAAGCTCCTCTCCCTACGCTCCCTCCAATCTCTCCTCTTCCCCCTCTTCTTCCTCCTCCCCTCCACCTCCCTTACCCAACCCCATCCTCGAACGATCCTGTCCTGCTTCTGTCAAAATCGTTCCCCGCAGACGCAAGTTCGAGTCCCGCAACCGCCGCCCCCCCACTCTCGTCTCCGCCGACGCCGTCCGCGCCCTCATGCACCTCAGCCAGCGGGAGGCAGCGGAGCAGCTCGACATCTCCCTCACGGCGCTCAAGAGCGCGTGCAAGAAGATGGGGATAACGGGCTGGCCGTACACGCGCAAGGAGAAGCTGGCAGCCGCCAAGTGTCTTCAAGGTCTTGATAAGGAACCAGCTGTTGAGAGTAGAAACGAGGAGGAGGAAATCGAGTCTGACGAGGATATTCCGGACATGGCGGACGATGGAGATGCTGGAGGAGGTGATAGGGCTGATAGGATAGTCGGGACTGATGGTTGCTGTTGGAGGACCACCGCCGACAGAGTACAAGCGCAGTGATATCACATTGAATCATATCGTATTATAGTTTATTGATAGCAGAGAACTGTTCGCTTGCCATGCTCTTTCTGTTGATAATGTAAATTAAATACTTTCACAACTTCACGTTATGTGCTCACATATAAGTGCGTTCGAGGAGATCGGCGGGAGGGAGGGAGGACGAGTTCAGCTGACATACTTGTCGTTACCTCATCGAACACCGTTTACGTCTTACTGCGCATGCTGTTGCTATGCTGGTTCTGGTAGAGGAGGAAGAGGATGCAACGAGGATCAGGAGAGGATTAGAGTTGTGTTGTGAGGGATAGAACAACAGGAAGTGAAGGAAAGGAGCAGAGAGAAGAACAAAGGAAACAGAAAACAAGTTTCACAACAATCTTTCTGTGCTCATTCTGTTTTATTTGCCTGTCCCGCATCTTCCTCGGAGCAACAAATCCATGTTGACCTCACCCTCTGCTCTGCTCTGCCCTGGGCTGGACTGGTCTGCTGTCCTCACCACTCAGTTCTCCTCTCAGCAATGTCACCGTAGTAGACCGTCACGGCCTTTAGACGACAGTTGACAAGATTCTTCTCCACCTCCACCGGATATGCATGCCCGCAGAAGTTCGACCCTCCTGCTCCTGCTCCTGCTTCCGCTGCTTCCGCTGCTCCTGCTGCTCCCGGCTCCCCTGGAATGGCTGCTAGCGCTACGAGCTGAGCAACGTTGATGTTCCTGGAGACCAGAGAGGGAAGGGAGCACAAAAAGACAGGGAAGTAAGATAGTAGGACAACCAGCGAAGGGAGAAGGAGAGGAAAAGGTATCAGAAGATGTTAGGATGTTTATCTTTGATCAAAGAACAATGTCGACGGAGAAGAGAAGCGGGAGGAATGAAAGAAAAAACAAAGAAGAGAAGAGTTGAGGAAGAACTGAGAAGAATGGCAGAGAAGGAATTCAAGGTAGGAGCAGAGGCAGGAGTAGGAGCAGAAAGAGAGGGAGAAGCAATCCATCAAGGGGTTCACTCACTTGGGAAGGTACATGGCGACGGAGGTAGCGATCTGTAGTAGGATGATGAGCTCAGGAACAGGCAGGAGGAGGAGGAAGAGAAGGAGGAAGGAGGAGTTGGTAGTGTTGGCGGTGGTGGAGGACGAGGAAAGGACCTGAATCGAGTGACGAAAGAGCACCTCACAGTCAATGGGAAGTTGATGCATGTCAAACACCTGCTCGAAATCAATGCAGCTTCTTCCTCCTCCTCCTCCACTTCCTCCTCCTCCTTGTCTCGTCTTCGTCTTACATGCGCGTTGGAGTACTCAGGTCCTCCCCAAGGAGGAGCTAGGAAAACAACATCCATCCACGTTGAAAAGCAGCCAGCTGGAGAAACCGTATGAGTCAAGAAGAGAAGCACAGACAGCGAGGGGGAAGGAGAAGGATGGGGACCAAAACGAGGAGGACGAGGAAGACCAAGGGGGACGAGAAGGAGGAAGAGGACGAGGAGGACGAGGAGGACGAGGATGATGATGAAGGATCGAAAAAAGGATGAAGGTAACGGGGGGGGGGGGACAAGGAGAACGTAGTTGCCATGGTCTCACATTTCGCAAGCTCTACAAAATTGCCAACAATGAACTCAATCTGGAGATTCAAACGTCACGGGTTCTCTTCCTTCACACTCTCCCTTTGCGACCTTATGGTCTACTCCGTAGATCTTGGCGTTGTGCTTGGCGAGTTTGATCTTCTCGGGATCTGACAAGATGAGTTCATCTTCATGATACATCTCCTCCCCCTTCCCCTTCCCCTTCCCCTTCCATTCCCTCCCCCTGCCCTTCTACTCCCCTTACCATCCCCTCTCCTCCCTTTCCCTCTCCTTCGCTCCCCCTCCCCTTCCTCATCCTTTCTTTCCCTTTCCATGTTGCCATCCTTCCTACGTGTCCTGTCTTTCTTTGCATCTTTCACCCCCAAGAGCCAAACTCCCTTCCTACTCCTCCATCCCCTCTCTTCCCAACTCATCTCTATGTTCTGATCTTTGAACTTTTCGGCTCCTCCTCCTCCTCCTCCTCCTCCTCCTCCTCCTCCTCCTCCTCTCACCGATGTCACACGCCCACACCCGGCGGCACGTCTGAGCCAGCTGGATAGCATTTCCTCCTGCTCCACAGAAAGCGTCGAGAACAAAGTCTCCCGAGCATCTTGAACGTGCGTGAGAGAGAGGAGGGGAAAGAAAAGAGGCGGCAAGAAGGCGAGAGAGAGGAGGAAGAGGATGGAGGGGAAGACGAAAACGCGAAGAAGGAAAGAGAAAAACGATTTGAAGTACATAAGGGGGAGACACACGAGCAGTGGGGAGAGTGAAAAGAGGCCGGAGGATGCTACGAAGAAGGGACGGCAGCCAACACTAAGAGATGGAGGAAGAGGAGGAGGAGGATGAGGAGAACAAGGACAAGAACGACTAGGAGGAGGAGGACAAGGAGGACAAGGAGGACAAGGAGGACAAGGAGGACAAGGAGCAGGAGAATGAGGAGCAGGAGGAAGAGGAGCAGGAGGAAAAGGAGCAGGAGGAAAAGGAGCAGGAGGAAAAGGAGCTGGAGGAAAAGGAGCAGCCTGAGGATGAGGACAAGGAGGAGAGGGGGGTGAGCACTTGAACGCGTGATGCTTCGAGAGCTCCTCTGGTGTGACCGAATACCAGCTCTCTCTGTCCAGCTTGAGATAAAGTTAGCCCGAGCTGGGAAGAGGCCGCAAACAAAGGGGAGGTGGGTAGCAACCTTGATCCCGTGGTCGTAGAGGGAGAAGAGCGTGTAGCGCAGCTTCCAGTACTTCTTCAGCTCTTCATCCTTCTCCAGCTCCACGTCCTCCTCCTCCTCCCCCGAGATCATGTCTGCCCAAACGTTTCTAAGCTCCTGGCCGGGCTGTGAGCTGAAACCCAGCTCGGCAGACCTTGGCAGGAGCGGAGGAGGTCTGTCTTCTTCCTCTTACGCAAGTTGGTGAACTTGTGCCTCCTGATCACGATCGAGTCCCACGAGCCACGGGCGCCTCCGTCCTCCATGTCGAAGAGCTCGACGAACCTGAGGAGGAAGTGAGAAGTGTCGAGGTGACGAAATTAGATGGTGAGAAGATGGTGAGAAGATGGTGAGAAGATGGTGAGAAGGAAGTTGAGGAAAGGAGTGAAGAGAGATGGTTGAGATGGTTGAGATGGTTGAGATGGTTGAGATGGTTGAGATGGTTGAGATGGTTGAGATGATTGAGATGGTTGAGATGGTTGAGATGGTTGAGATGGTTGAGATGGTTGAGATGGTTGAGATGATTGACATGGTTGAGATGGTTGAGATCACAGAGATGATTGAGATGTTTGACATGGTTCGGAACATGAAATGGCAATGATATCACAAGGCACAATGCCGGCAACATCGTGAGATGAATAAAAATCAACTTCACGTGAAGATCATAGATGAGATGCTAAAAGAAGAGAACAATCATGCAAGCACAGGTCGAGTGATAGCACGAGCAGACAATGATATCCATCAAAATGCAAGTTAGATCATCACCGTCTACTCCGCGGGTAATCGCCATCGACGAAAATCTCATCATATCGTCTCTCTTGTCCTTCAACTTCATTCTCCTCATCTGACTTACAAGTAAAACATCGCAGGAAACTCAAAAACTCCGAAACGACCTGAAGGAGCCGATTGCTGTTCGTCCCTCTCCTCCTCCGCTTCACTGTCAGAGTGAAACTTGACATGGACTCCTCCTCCTGCCATCGGTTGTCAGCTTGGCAACACATGCAGAAAAGAAAGAAGGAGAAGATAAAGATCTGATGTTGTCATCCTTGATACAACTTTCAAACTGCTGCCACATAACATAATCCAAGAATACCCTGCCCCCCTCTTGTATGTTCGTGAACCACTGACTACCCTTTCTCCCCTCCCTCCTCCCCTCCCTCCCCCTTCCCCTTGAAGTTGGACAGCTACAAGATGTTGCTAGAGCAGCTTAAACCGTAGGGTGCATAGAGTATTCATTTCTTCACCTTTGTTGGTCTTGGAGGTTGTATGGACTCCCAACTAATGGGGTCAGATTCAAAAGAAGAGGCGAGAAGAGAGAAGGGAAGAGATACAGCAAAAGGAACAAAGGAACGAACGAGAGGAAAAGTGCAGAGCAGAGCAGAGCGAAGCAGAGCAGGGCAGGGCATGACAGGGGATGGCAGGGCAGGAGGAACAATTTGCGTCCTCCATTGAAATATGTCTTCCATTGAAAGCAGAAGCGACAAAGACAAGCAAAAACAGGAAAGCAAGTGCAAGGAGAGAAGAAGACGAAAGCAAGTGCAAGGAGAGAAGAAGACGAAAGCAAGTGCAAGGAGAGAAGAAGACGAAAGCAAGTGCAAGGAGAGAAGAAGACGAAAGCAAGTGCAAGGAGAGAAGAAGACGAAAGCAAGTGCAAGGAGAGAAGAAGACGAAAGCAAGTGCAAGGAGAGAAGAAGACGAAAGCAAGTGCAAGGAGAGAAGAAGACGAAAGCAAGTGCAAAGAGAGAAGAAGATGAAAGCAAGTGCAAAGCGAGAAGAAGACGAAAGCAAGTGCAAAGAGAGAAGAAGACGAAAGCAAGTGCAAAGAGAGAAGAAGACGAAAGCAAGTGCAAAGAGAGAAGAAGACGAAAGAATGTCGCAAGCTGACAGTTGAAAACCTCACCTCCGACTCGTAGTAGGCTGAAAGTTTCTGTTTCCTGTCTTCTAGAGCAGCCTGCAGGCAAAACAAATAAAAGAAACCGATCAAACACAAGAAACAAGACAATTGACATGGAGAGATGATTCTCCACCTTCTTGGCTAGTTTGTTCTTAACAAGCTGCAGCTGATCTTGCGTTTGCTTACACTTCAGTATGGTAGCAGGAGCCGGAGGCTAAGAATAATAGTTAGATGACAAAAGTAAAGGAAGAGAAGAGAAAAGAAGGAAGCAAGAGAGAAAAGGGATGAACAGATGGAAGCGAGCGAAAAAACAAGAGGAAATAGTCAGTTGAAAAGAAGAAGGGACAATTTTTGAATAGAAGAGGTGGTGGCGGAAAGATTTCAGGAGATTTACGAAGACAAAGTAGGGCAGAGAGAGGAAGAGAGGGAGGAGAAGCGTTCAAAACCTCAACAATCTCCCCATGGAGAATCAAAGATACAATGTCCGGCACTTCCGTGTTGATCCACTTTGAGACCGCTGGGGTCAAGACAACATTTTAAGTCAAAGAGCAAGTGAACCTGATTCGTTACTTGTGTCGATCCCTCCTGCAAACATTGACTATTCAACACTATGAATCCTTCCCACTCCTCCTCGTTCCCTCCCCTCCTCCTTCATCTTTTCCCCCTCCGTCCTCCATCCTGCCTTTGACTCCTGACTCTTGCCACGTCCTCCCTCCTCCCTCCTCCCTCCTCCCTCCTCCCTCCTCCCTCCTCCCTCCTCCCTCCTCCCTTCCCCTTTCCCCTTCCCCTTCCCCCTTCCTTCCTTCTTTGTCTTCTTCGTCATCTTTTCTTACCTCACTCCCCGCTCCTCCACCTCTTACCGTCTGGGTACATCGCAACCAAACAGGATAGTTCTCATCAGCGAAGTACCCAGCTGAAATCCAGCTGAGCATTTGCATCACGGTGAAGGGCCCGTAGATCGGCTGCTCCACATCCTCCCTCGCCTCCTCCGCCTCCGCTTCCTCGGCCTTCTCCTCCTCCTTGTCCTTCTCTACCTGCACACGGACCGCATGTCATTCAGGTTTCGTCCACCTGCTACTTCACCTCTCCTCCTTCCTCCTCTCTCTGCTGCTCAGCGCTCAACACCACCGGCAGATACTCCCATACTATACAACTCTCATCTGTGAAAGCGTGAGGAACAGGCCGCGAAGTGCAGACGGGAAGGAGGAAAGAGGAGGAAGCAGAAGCAAGGAGGAGGAAAGAGGAGGAAGGAGAAGCAAGGAGGAGCAAGGAAGAGGAAGGAGGAACGGAGAGTGTGGAGAGGAAGACAGAACACGAATGAGAGAGAGAAGAGGAGGCTAGCAAACAGCAGGAGCAGGGGAGAGTGACAGCAAGAGCAGTACCATAGTTTCGCTCTCTCAGGTAGAGAGCGGCAAGGGATGCTCTTGCTCGAGTCGTCATCATCGGAGACGTGACGTCAGCGTCTCTGCAGTAGATGGTGGTCTGAGGGCGGATGAGGTGCCTGCAGTCGCGTCATGCAGGTTGGCTAGATTGAGCGCCTCCTCCTATCTTACGTTGCCACCCGCTGCTGGTCCTTCTTCCTCCTCTTGGTGAGGTCGTTGGCGGTGAAGCTGCACGGCAGCCCCAACTTCTTCATCTGCTAAAGGGATGAGATGAGACGAGACGAGCCAGCAAGAGCAAGCGACTTCAAGGTCACCTCCTCTCTCAGAGACTTCGTCTCCTCGTCTCCCATCTCCTCCTCATCCTGCTTGCCCTGTGCCTCCTCAGGCATGGTTTGATCCCCTTGCTCGAGGTCCTCATCAGATGCTTCATGGGAGTCACTGTCTTGGTAAGTATCATCTTGATCACTCTCATCGTCTCTGCCCTCCTCCTCGTCCTCGCTCTTCTCGCCATGCTTGTCCACCTCGCCTAGCTCCTCCCCTCCTGCTTCCACATGCTCCCCACCATTCTTCTTCGTGTTCGCCTTGTTCACTTGATTCTTCCTCGATGCTTCTCCTGTCGTTGTTGCTGCAACAGTGAAGACGACATCAGGCATGCAGCAGCAGAGGCCCTCTCCCCCGGGCACGGGGAGCGTAGAGGGAGCATGCTGCTCGTGCTGCATTTTGAGGGACCTGGAAGGGAGGCCAGGAGGGCGGGTGTGTCTCAGGAGAGAGCGAGCGAAGGGACGCGGGGGCGAGGAGACATCGGCAGGGGAGGGGGGGAGGAGGAGGAGGAGGAGGAGGAGGAGGAGCGGGAGGAGCAGAGGAGTACAAACTATCTTGTTGATCCGCCTCCCTCCCTTGCTTCCTGCCTGAGCTTGAGCTAGCGGTTCTCCTATTTTTTCGAGCTAACCTCAGAGTCTAGATAGTTCGTTCTGGAGGACAGCGGTATGTACAGGGGATCTAAGGTGAATTGAGTGGAAACTGGCTTCGGAAACGGGACAGCAAATAGGAGCGAGCACATGAACTCAACAACTGCGACGAACTTCGGAATCATCCGAGTTGTTGACAGACAGCATCATCAACGTTGCGACTTTCTGTTTCATTCATTTCACTTGTCCTAGTCCGTCTGGTACTTATACACTCCTGCGCGAGTTCCAGCATGATATGATCACCAGATGCGATCTCGGACTGCCGTCACTTCACACCACCTCCCTGAGTTCACCCCCAACCTTGCTTTGTGTCTCCCTGACACTCGCCCAGCAGGGCAAGCGCTTCATGGGAAACTGCCAACGTGCGGAGCACGGCCTGTAGCACTACAACAGTACGGTACACCAACACCATGACCATACAAGTATCTGGCGACTCAGTTACATCATCCTTGCTGTTGCCCCACCATGATGTCTCTCTCCTGCCCTGTTTGCTCATGCTAGACTGATCTCTGGAGGAGGCATTTCCTGAAGACCAAGTCACCACGACGACATTCCGACACATGGCATGAGCAGGGAAACAGACTGACCTCCATAAAGTCACTCCCCGGTGTGTCGCTTCTCCTCCCCCGCGACGTCACGCTCCGCAGCACATGCAGAACAGCCATGGAAGCAAAGATGCCCACCCGCTTGAAGATCTGCTTCTTCTTCTGCTCCCCTTCCGCACCTCCCAGAGAGTTCGACCTGTTTGAAAGCGTCAGGATCACGGCTGCTACAACCACTCATCTAACCTAGAAGAGACTTGCTGGAGTTTCTCCAGGAACTGGCGAGGTGACTCGGTGCTCAGTCGGTTTGTGACCATGGCACCGAACTTGGTGTTGGCAAGTCCACCAGGGTCAACGTGTGTGATTAGGGTGAACTCAGTCTTGCTCGGGTCCGAGGAGACTTTCTTGAGCAGGTTCGCTCCCAGAGGCATGTTCATCCTCGTATACCCCGGCGCATGCTTCGCAAGCGGGTGGTCCTCCGCCCTGTTCACTATCAACTTGGCATCCTCCCCGATGCTGCGGTAGTGAACGCGCGTTACAAACTCTCTCGACCATGGCCTCCCGGTCCGGGTCTGCGTGATCTTGGTATCTTCACTCAGCCACTCGAGGTCTAAGATCTCCTTGCAGTACTCGTTGTACTCGTGGGCCCGAGCGTTGTCCGTGAACAGCTCGAACACTTTCTCTAGCGGGGCATCGATTACAGCTGTCGCCTTCACGCACGCAAACTTTGACGCCGAGCCAACTTTCAGCCCCGCGATCTCCAGGTCTGCTGGTAGAAATCTGCGCCAGACTTTGATGTTTCCCTCGGAGCTAACCTCCTCCCACCCATCGGATTCCATCACATCGATCGTGGTGGAAACCAACATGTCATTCACCCACTGCACGTCCTTCTGCCTCCAGCTTAGATCCTCAGCTTCTTCGTTGAAGGACATGAAACGCAGTTTGGATACCATCACCGGAATGTTCTTGGCGTTCAGGATCTCATTCCGGAAATCGACATTCCTACAATGCTTCTCTGTCGACTCCACCATCTGCAACATATGGTTCCATCCCTGACTAGGATTAATCCACAGCTGATGATAAGTCAGAGCCCGCTCAAACTGCACGGCAAAGTCGTTCCACGGACAAAGCTCTTCACGCTTCTTCTTCATCAGTGCGTCCACCTCTGAAACGCAATCCCCCAAGGCTCGAAACAAATCTTGTGTTCGGTCCAAACATGTCTGCACACAGTTTTTCCCTCCTCTTAGCCGTTGTGGCATGCAGACATGCATAGTGCTGTCTGCTTCTTGCCGAAATGTTTCCCACCGCTGCATGCTTTGACATTGCTGTGGATTCACCAGTCCACGGAGACTGTTATCCAATCCAACCTGTGCCCAACCAAGAGACAAGAGAGAAAGAGAGAGATGTCAGTGCAACGCTTTTCAAACTCTCGGTGGCATTGCTCACCTGTACTGACGTGCTGTCTCTGGAATGTGCATTTACAGGTCCGCTGCACGAGACAAAGCAGCAGACTAGCTGGATCGCAAGAAGGGACGTACAGGTGCAAGGAGAGGTCAGGGACCCTTCTCCCAGCCGTTTCTTCCGCATGGTTCGCTTGCGTTTGACGTTCTCAAGACAGTAGACTTTCCGATACTACCTCAGGCTGACAATGGCACATATAATTATCACTTGCTTCCTTCCGCCGGCAAAGACCCATCCAATCATGCTACCAACTCGCAACAGAAGCCATGCGGGAAGAAGAGGAGGCGCATGTCAGTTGTCTCGAAGCTCATCTCATCTCATCTCATCTGTCGTATCCTACCAACGTTCTTCTTCAACCTTGTCAAGCCTGTCAACTCCCATGCCTCGTTACTACGAGATCACACCGCAGTACCAACACCCCCCCTACCCACCCTTGATACACATTTAACCCACCGGTCTGATGTATTACCCCAATTATTAACCTTGTCTGTGGTGGTAGGGGTTACAGCTACCACCCTCCCGGGGCATTCTTCTATGCTTGGAACCAGATACCGTAGACCGCTAACAGTACCCCCGCCATCCCAAACAAAAGTCCATAACACAAGGTATCTTCTGTCTGCACCTACACCTATCAATTTCACCAAGTATTGCACTAATGAATTTCCAGATACCCATCAGATCATGGACCCAGAGTGTTACACCATCACCCCCTCATGTACCATACCCTACCCCTCAAGCTCACCACCGTGCTGTCCCATCATCCATTCTTTGGGAGGCTTTAGAATAAGTTTTAATCGCTGGATACCATCAAAATGTTTTATAATACAAAATATATTGTTATTGAAAACTTGTCTATAGAATATATATAATTTATTTCTGATTTATAAAGAAGTTGAAAGAAATGGTACAAGATGTCACAGATATTTTGTACCAAAAAGCAACAAAACCAGGTACAGAAGTTGCATTTAAAACAATAGATTTGTTTTATTAGTGTTTTGTTGACTCCCGAGGCCCCGGGGGCCTCAGGGCCGTTTCCCGCCGGCTCCCAGATTCCAGATTTTTTACTTTATTGAAAGTGATTTGAAATTTACCCCGAAATATTCACCGGTGCCTTCAATACATACTGCCAGGGGGTGGGGTCCCCTGCCTGTTCATATTTGATGCTCCCAGCATACCCTCCCTACATTCTAACAATTTTTCTCGATTGAGCTGATAGTATATTTCAATATAGTGCCTGCCCATTCGAAAAGCAAAATCTGGGAAAGTCAACCGCATCGTTTCATTCTCAAATTAAAATGACTTATAGTTGAGTTTTCCAAAACATTTGGAGGAGAAAAAAAGAAATTGACTTATATTTGTATGAAAAAATCTGGAATCTGGAATCTGGGAGCCGGCGGGAAACGGGCCTCAGTTAGGCCCGCGCAGTCGCCGGGACACCGGAGCCGGGCCTCTCATGTCTAAAACTTATTTTTCATGTACGGAATATATATGAGTTTCTTGGTACGAACAACAGAATTTCAATCTCTACATATGGTACATACATTATGGATACAGGAGAACAGATGATGGTAGAATATTCATACCAATTCTTTCAATACCTATACTATTTGCTTATTAAAGTTTTTTATATAGCCTTATCGATTGATTGAATCGTAACCATCTCTAAAACATAATTTCTGCTCTGGTACAAACAGAAATGTTAAAAAAGGATATTTATAATCATCCCCACGACAGAGGGAGGGAGGTTGTTGTTACCGCAGCGATGATAGAAGCTGCGGTATTGCAAGGAGTACATAGGCATTCATGCAATATATATGTTGCGAATGACTCCATCATGGAAACAAACGAGCAGCAAGATTTCATTCGTCCTGCGCATTTCCATGCTGTTGATTGATACCCCGCTCCTAAAAACTCCTCCATACAACACTTCAGATTTCCTCTCATCGTCACCTACGTTCCCATCTTCTGCCAGCTGAACAACGTTTCTAGTCGTTGTATTCTTCAATTTTGTGGATTTTTCCCTCTTTGCGCCTGTTAGTGTTGGAGGGGTTTTGGTGATAACCTGAACAATGCTTTTTCCATCAATTGAGCATACGTGACTTTTACATGACAGAATGATTCGAAGCTCCATCGGTTTGCGGCAAACCGTACAGGTGTGGCTGCTTTTATGATCTCCCCTTACAACAGCGCTTGCTGAAGCATTTTCGGCCTCAGTTTCAACAGAAACGGTTGATATGGGATCGCATCAAGGAGATCTTTGTACAGGTTGTTGTTTGATTAACCCAGCATGTCTGTGTTGAAAGATGTGCTCCATCTACAGGCTCCAAATCTGTCTCCTTCACAGTCTGCCATGAACGCGCTTGGGTTTCGCAGGGAAGCTCCGGCGAGTAAGAGCATCAAGGTGCCCTTCGTCATCTGTTGATCACTGCGCACCAACGTGATCAAATCGTGCAGGAAGTTCCTGTCATTCCTCGCACGGCTCCTGGTGCCCAGTTCAAGATCAGATACTTTGATCGTAATTGCCTTCCTGATGGCCTGCTGCTTCTCAATCGCGCGGCAGGTGATACCGTCAAGCCAACAGATTGGAACTACAAGGATAGCGAGGGGAAAGTTGCAGCGGTATTTCCGACGGTGAGAAAGACTTGTGTGGCTTGACTTGAGTTTTCTAGGTGTCGCCTTTGAAATACATGGACGGCACTCCCTACCTGACCCAATTTGCTCCTGTTCCTGACATGCCAGCTCATGTAAGGCTCGGAACAATGTTTTGCCTTGAACGCGTGCTTTTCTTGATTGGTTTGTACAGCTTCCACGACAGTCGGCGGACTGGATCAGGCCAGGGCTTCCGCCATGTGCAGGTACTTGATTTCGAATTGAATGCCTGATTTTCATGCTCCCCTTGATGCCCTGAAGTTCAACCTATCGCGTTGATGTTCTTGACTGGTTCTTGGCAGGACATCCCTATAAGCTCAAGCCCACTGTCCCAGAAACCTATCAAGACTAGTCTAAGCCCTCCCTTTTTTCGAATGAGCGTGAGGATGCCGCACAAGTTCACCAGTCACGTCTCAACATCACGGTGCTAAGCCTGATACCATCATAAACATTGAGCCTGTAAACATCAGCGGAACCATCCTGACAATCAGGAGAGCCTGTCGAGGAGGCTTGACCCCGACAAGGCACTGTCGCACAGGCCATACTATGCGGCGAGAAGGGAAAATACTGACAAAGAGAAACAACCCAAATCCTGCCTACCGTAGTACTGCCTCCGATACCCGGTCCAGTGCTCAGGTCCGATCCCCAAATCCGATTTGCAAGTTGGGCGGCAGATTGAATCTGCCAGTGACCGGGCTTTAAGTTCAGTGCCGACCTTACCGTCAAGTTACCGCATATCATAGCCTCCTGGTTCAAATCTTTACTCAAAGTTAAGTTAAAGATCAGTACGAGGAACGAGGACAATCAGGAGAGTCACCTAGTAGTATGCCGGTAACCGGTCAGGGTGGCCGGGCCGCGATGCATTCCATGGCATTTACTAACGCCCAATTATAAATTAATATCCTTTTAACAAACACTTGTACCTGTTAATTTGATCATAAGCATACAGTTTTTAGTCAATTTTGTACCAGAATGATTTGTACCACTCAGTACTCTTTTATATTTGTTTTAAGCATTTGAGTTCCGGCTTACACGCCTCTTGGCTGCTCTCTTCCCTGTGTACCGGTATGTTTGTCTGATATTAAGGGGGTAGGGTTATTCGTATATTTCGATACACGCTCATGAAATCTTATTAGTGTCAGCCATTGACGAGTGTAGTAAATCCAGCCAATAAGTATTTTTGTTTTCAAATCAAGGAGTCGTATGCCAGCTAGCAACGGCAATATTTTTTTTCTACACCGGTTGTTTTATATAGATACCTACCCCATGTCTATAGGGTGCCACCGAAACACAGGTCCCCTTGCCCCCGATCAAAGAGCAAATAAAAATTCATTAAAAATCCTGAGATCCCCATTGCAAGTATCCCTCCCCTCCTCCTTCCTGCTCTTCTCCCTCCCTCCCTCCCTCCCTGCTCCCCTCCCTTCCTCCCTGCTCCCTCCCTCCCCCCTGTTCCCCTCCCTCCCCGTTGCTTCCCTTTCCCTTGCGCTCCAGTTATAGACACCAAACAAATGAATCTTCACCGTCGTGTATCAGCAACAAATGGAATTCAGAGAAGGCGAAGGCAGGAAGATTTCGATACATTCTTGGAGCAGGAAGAGACTTGTGATGAGTCAAAGACACCTGAAGATTTGAAGCTTCGAATGATCCTGCATACGTCAGTTGATGATCGAGACTTGCCCAGGATGTACTGGAAAAAGCCAGGCAGTAATTTGAATATTATGCTTGAGCCTGGCACAGGGGTTCAATATCAGTGTGAAGATCACAGGGGCGTTGAAGTGAATCGACTGGGCATGATCAAATCGCTGCACTCAGATGCACAGGTTGTCGAAGTGTACATCATGTACAATGGAGTCCTCTTGGAACATGTAGACGAAACCATTATAACTAATCGAGTGCCCTGTGTGGCCCTGAAAAGAATTTTGAACAAAGTTGGAAACCGTGATTGTTATCAAGCAATTTACAAGGATACGGATGAAATAAATGCTATACCAAAAATGTGTTTCTTCAGCTTTCCTTGCATGTTGGAGCATGCCAACGATGATCTCCACGATAATTTCAGAGTGCATGGGTATATATTTTTTCATGAAGACGACATCGAAAATAATAAATACTGTGAAATCTCTCACTTCTCGATTGCAAACCCGGCACCACTCGTTGAAAAGATGGCGCAAACAACTTTCTGTTCAGCGGCGGAGTACAATCGGATTTGTCGAGATATGACCGAGGTCAAAAAGATGTTCAATCAGTGGTTGAAGTCAAGGAGTGAGACCTTTGAGAAAAAATTTTGTTTGTTGTTTTCCATTGATTTTCGTTGCTTTCGATTGCTTTACAATTTTTGTTTGTTGTTTTCCATCGCTTTACGTGTGACATGCTCGTCACAAGCCATGTTTATGAACTCCGAAAACCTCAGCATCTTTTCGCTGCCTGTTTCACAACCTCGGAATCATCGCCGTCTTTGTCCAAACCTACATCCGCAAGATGTTCCTATTCGCTTGGGCACCCGCTTGTCTCCATGCTTCTGTTCCCTACAACTGATAAAAACATTACATTCGCAGGAATGATATTCAATGGAGACTCTACCTTATGTCTTAGCTCGCTGGTTCTGATACTGAGAAGTCCTGAGGGAAGTTCATTCACATCCGGCATTCATGGCGTTGAATAGTTCATCGATCTTACACTTGCGATCTATTTGCAATCAAGTTGCCTACACGACTGACATGCCTTATGCTTATGTGCTTGGTTGACACAGAGAGGAGGAAGTATGGGTCTTGTAGAATGCCAACCAAAACAACAATCAATTGCCTAATCAGAGAGATCCTTTACGAGAAACAATCTTGACACCAAACAACTCTACAGTCAGAGATGTGCTCGAAGCTCAATCATACGAAAGAGGGTTGTGGATGCTTGATCACCAAAAACGAGCAAATTCTCCATCTTGCAATGAGCATCAAAAGGATTCGAAAACAGCCCTAGGCTCTAGAATCCATGGTGATGCTGATTCCTACAGCTTCCTTTGAAAAACAAGCTCGAGCTGTTTGAAACGTCGTCTTGCAGTATGCCGCAAAAAGTACAAACATTCACACATGATTCAACCTTGGATGGCCTGGTGCTTGAATACGATGAAAGAGCCATTGGCTGAGAGCCATCTGGGATGCAAACAAACGCCGCCTGCGCCGGTGGGTGCGGATGCAGCAATGGGGGAAGGGTAGGGCAGGCGATTTTGGTTGTATATGCACCCCCCAGGCGTGTAAAAGCGTGTAAGGTCAAAAATAGTTTTAATGTTTGAAACCTTGTTGTTTGGAGGAAGCAAGAATACTTGTAAACCTAAAACTGCTCGACACGGTCCCCGATTCAAACATACTTTCAACCATTATCGAAGTTTCTGGTACAAATTTTCAGTGCGCCGACCATTCAAAAATCCTGGGCTGAGGTACCCCGCTCGAAAATGATCAAAAGCGAGCATTAGAAAATGCCATGGAATGGATCATCCGACTCGGATGACTCTGTGAAAGACCGTCTGAGTCGTGCGAATTAAAGTAAAATCTTGCGAATCTTAGCAGGAGTTAAACTGAGACGGTCTCCTGCCTGTGACTCATTCATTTACTCAAAGTTAAGTTAAAGATCAGTACGAGCCTCCGAGCAAACGGCCGGCGTGACTCCTTCAATAATTTAAAAGGGCTTTCTGGCAGGAGGTCCCCGGAGCTTCGGAAGTTCGGAAAGGGTCGGCGGTGACGGGTGACAACGGCGGAGAACCGGGCTCGGAGGCTCGTGTAAGACAGGACCGTACAATTGAGTCACGGGGATACGGTACACTGATACCCTGGCAATCCGATGACTAGGCTTATGGCGCCGATGGTGGTGACCCATGGCTTTTTAAATTAATACTGCGATTAAGAAATCGATGAGCATGCGAGGTTGTGATGGTAGTACGTAAGATAGAGAAGCTTGCTGATGGCGGCCTAGCAGGGAAGAGGCACGAGCCTCACATGGCCGACCCAAAGGCTATAGGTAGGCTATTGTCCCTTTCCACTTACTATGAAAATTAAGAAAAGTCCAACCTTGGGGTATGGGGAGGGAGATAGATGAAGGACATCACGGGACGGCAGGGGTGGAGCACGAGACGAGAGCAAACCCTACTGAACGACGAGAGGAGATATTGGTAGCCCACCAGACCACCGGTGCTTGCTTCTGGTAAAACAGGGGTACATCATATGAAACCACCGGTCCTTGAAAAGGTAAATTGAGGGGTAAGGAGGCGGCGTGCGGAAGACGCGAAAGTGACTTCTTTCGCACCTGACCTACAAAACAGACTCCGGCAGGAGGGGTCCTTTTGATTGATTTTAGTGGGGTGATGGGGGTCCGAAACGGGGGTGACAATAGAAAGAAGGTGAACTGGTCATCACATAGCTCGAACACAGCGTTTCGGGAGAACCCCTACCACCTGTTCTTACCATCTTTAAACCGGTACTTCTAGCCGGCCCCCAAAGTGATAAGATTACAACAGGGAGCTATGATTCAATAGCTCCAACCTTCGTCCCTCCTCAAACTCATCCTCCCCTTCTTGGCGTACCAACGTACCTCCAACCAGTCCGACTTTTCTCTTACCTCCCCTCCTTCCCTTCGCTCCATCCCTGCCATCCCTCCCTCCTGCCACTACCCAACATCCTCCTCTCCTCCGCCCTCCCTCCCCCGACAAACAAGCTTTCCGCGCTTCATTGCTCGACAACAAGCATCCCCGACGACCGCTCGTCTCCCCTGGACTCTCTCGCATGCTAGGCTTATTGCGCTTATTGATCTTGGCCGCGTCTCTGGTGCTCGCGGCCTCCACCGCTCTCGCCTCCTCTCCTCGTGCTCCCAAGCTTTCCCGCGTCTCCATCGACGTGGATCTCTCTGGACTGCTGCCGGCCAAGACCAGGCCTCTACGCCCTGACGTGCATGGAAGCAGCATGGTCAGCTCTCAGAGCGAGGGGCCTCGCGCAGGCACCCGCTGTATCCGCCTCCGCGGAGGCAACTGCCTCGACTCCTCCGCCAACCTCGCTGAGCTCACGTCGACGGTGAGCGAGCGAGTGCCGCTGAGGAGCGAGGGGGCAGGATGCAGCACAAGGCGATGCTGGAAGCTCAGCAGGACGGTGGAGTAGAGGAGGAGGAGGGCGCCAGTATTCTTTGACCACGAGATGTATTCTTTAGATGTACCACTAGCTGATATGGATTGTGAATGAATCAACTATCCCTACTCATCAGAGTGTCTGTAGCATCGCATGCGCTCACCGAGCCCTCAATCTCATGGCGCGAGACGCGTAGACGGGCCAGCATGTCGGCGACATGCGCGAAGACGCTCGAGAGGGAGCGGGGGCCGTCATGTGAGGCTGGCGATGTCAGAGAGGTCGGTGAGGGAGAGGGGCCTTGAGTCTTGAAACCATTCCTTGATGTGGGTCTGCTGGCGGTTGGCCATGGAGAGGAGCCGGGCGGAGTGAGAACAGTTGGGGTAGGCGAAGAAGGCAGCATGGCTGGAGAGGCTTGTCAGACTCGTGGAGGAGAGGGGAGGGGAGATGATGGGAGGGGAGGAGGGGAGGAGTGGACCAGTTGCCGGAGAAGCAGGAGCTCCGAACGCACGCGAGGCCTCTTCCGTCCACACCAACACCGAGGCCTGACCAACAAGGTCATGTGGCCCCTTTTTGTTTCTCTCTTCCTCCTCTGTTGCCCGTCACCCCCTGTCTCTCCGCCGCCCCCGCTAACCCTGTACCTCCTCTCACCGCAATCTTGGAAGAGACAGTCGTCTATCGCTGCGGCCGCCACGTCCGTTACCGTTACTCCGCATCCCAAGCTGCCGAAAGGAGCTTCGCCATGAGTCTCGTCTTGAAGGATGACACGGAAAGGCGATTGAAGATTAAGATCTCCCATCTCCTGCCACACGTCACCCTCATCCCCACTCATGCTCTTGCTACCTTGCTGTCCTGGTCCTTCCCTCGATGAACAATCTGAGCACATGCATGCAGCAAACCGGACGGTCGGAAGCTCAACTTGACGCTTTCAAGCATCTCGCTCACTTGCAGCGTGGTGACTTCCTTGTGAGGCGCATCAGAGGGACTGAGAGAAATCTCCGCGCATGCCTGGCTGCCGTCGTTGATCGGCGGCGGGTCCCTCGCAATCACCTCGGCAAGATGCTCAACTTGAGCTGGAGCGAAGAACTGAAACAAAGGCAACAGCATCACTGTCACTGCCGGCAAACTAGACATCACGACGAGCCACCTGTGCTGCGTTCCTCTTGCTCGCCCCGATACCCCTGAGGGTGCTGTACCGAATAACCAACGTCGAGCAGTGCATCGCAGTGATGCCGTCCTCCGCAGGCTCCTCTGGAGACAGCCCCCCGACATGGGTGGCTACCAAGGTGCAATTAGATTGCAGCGAGAGACCTGAGTCGCGAATCATCTTGTGCTATGAGTAATCCTTCACTCACAGCAACACACTCCTTGCCCGCAGAGGACAGAGCAGGCAAACATCGCCCAGGGTCCTCCTTGCACGTGCAAGAGGATCTGGCAAGCCCTCAAAGTGAGTCAAGCAGGAGGAGGAGGAAGAGGAGGAGACGTCAGCTGAGTCGGCAGAGGAGAGTTGGAAGCGGAGAGATGTGATGGAACCACTGCAGCCTTTGGCGAGGACGTACTTGCCCTCAAGAGTCTGTAGCATGAAGGTGTTAGCTCGGGAGTGGTGCAGGCAAACAAGTTGATACGGATGAGCTGAAGTTGGTGAGAACAGACAGCACTCCCTCGGTCCTCACACCTCCTTGGCAGAAGCTGTAAGAATCTAGTCGTGCTCCTCTTTGATCCGCCGGCTGCTGCTCGCTCTGCCCTTCGAAATGAAGAACCCTCTCTCCCTGCGCGGCGTCTCAGTTCAAACGGGCGGGAAGGGAAGCAAGAGAACATGGAGAGGGAAGCAAGAGAACTCACTCCGTGGAACTTTGACGTCACGATGGTCGTGCGCCTCTTCTGCCTGCTCGCATGTCTCCCTCTGGGAAAGATTATTCTCCCATCCCTGTTCGCTCTGTGTATGGCAGGACGTAGAGAGCTTCTGTATGTTCAGCTTTCTGTGAGGAATGACAATGCAAGAAGAGAAAAGAAGAAGACCTGCTCTTCACCACAACATCTCGATCTGAGATATCTGCAAACATTCGCCGAGAGCAGAGTTCAGACAGAGCAAGGAGAGCATGATGCCCGATAACTGTCACATACCAAGTGAGCGAAGGAGAGTGAGGACAAGCCATCAGGAACATGAATCATGACTGCAGACTGCAAAAACAAGATGCAAACAAACATCGACAACACTCACAACACCTCCACTGTTTCATTACACACTTGTTTCCCCTCGTTCCGATTGGAGCTGCAAACTATCAGACGATGACGCCCATCGAGGCGGGAAGGATGAGAGAAGAAGCAGAACAAGATTCGTCAAGGTAGTCCTCATCTCACAGACTTGTCTCCTCGTAGAATCTCAGGTGTAGAACGTCCATCTTGTTCTATTGCAGTCTCTACACTTGGCTTTGTAACCTGTACGTGTCCTGGCTTGCTAGCACAACGGACAGACATTGAGCGAGAAGGTGGAGCAGCTTGCTCCTCTCCTCCTCTACACCATGTCTCTGCGTACCCAAACCAGCATCAGCCCTTCTGCCATGATGCTCCTGCGGCCTACCCCAGGCAGCTGCCATTTTGCCACATGGGGTTCGGAATTGTAATAAGAAGAAGGTTTCATGCATCTGCCTATAGATGGAACTAAGTATCATATTGAGGCGGGCTTGTGTAAGAGATACAACCCGTCACAACGCCAAATAGCGCGCATGGCGTGCACGTAAGGGAAGAGGATCAGGTCAAGAGCAGTGCATGGAGAAGATCTTGAGAGACATGAATGAATCATATGATATCAAGATGTTATATGAATTCACTACGCCAGAATTGATAGGTCATCCAACGGATGCTTCTCCTGCGTTCGGAGCTCCTTTTACACCAGCTAGGTGATAGCTCCACTCGGCCTGAACTACAGCCCTCCATGAAGCTACTCTGACCAGCCTCCCCAGCCATGCTGCCTTCTTCGCCTACCCCAACTGTTCTCACTCCGCCCGGCTCCTCTCCATGGACAACCGCCAGCAGACCCACATCAAGGAATGGTTTCAAGACTCAAGGCCCCTCTCCCTCACCGACCTCTCTGACATCGCCAGCCTCACATGACGGCCCCCGCTCCCTCTCGAGCGTCTTCGCGCATGTCGCCGACATGCTGGCCCGTCTACGCGTCTCGCGCCATGAGATTGAGGGCTCGGTGAGTGCATGCGATGCTACAGACACTCTGATGAGTAGGGATAGTTGATTCATTCACAATCCATATCAGCTAGTGGTACATCTAAAGAATACATCTCGTGGTCAAAGAATACTGGCGCCCTCCTCCTCCTCTACTCCACCGTCCTGCTGAGCTTCCAGCATCGCCTTGTGCTGCATCCTGCCCCCTCGCTCCTCAGCGGCACTCGCTCGCTCACCGTCGACGTGAGCTCGGCGAGGTTGGCGGAGGAGTCGAGGCAGTTGCCTCCGCGGAGGCGGATACAGCGGGTGCCTGCGCGAGGCCCCTCGCTCTGAGAGCTGACCATGCTGCTTCCATGCACGTCAGGGCGTAGAGGCCTGGTCTTGGCCGGCAGCAGTCCAGAGAGATCCACGTCGATGGAGACGCGGGAAAGCTTGGGAGCACGAGGAGAGGAGGCGAGAGCGGTGGAGGCCGCGAGCACCAGAGACGCGGCCAAGATCAATAAGCGCAATAAGCCTAGCATGCGAGAGAGTCCAGGGGAGACGAGCGGTCGTCGGGGATGCTTGTTGTCGAGCAATGAAGCGCGGAAAGCTTGTTTGTCGGGGGAGGGAGAGCGGAGGAGAGGAGGATGTTAGGTAGTGGCAGGAGGGAGGGACGGCAGGGATGGAGCGAAGGGAAGGAGGGAAGGTCTAGGAGCAGTTTGCTAGAGTTGAGTGGCTGGTTGCAGGAGGTTGGAATGGAGGAGGGGAGTTGAGCTTCTTCATTCCTTTCTCCCTGTGGTAAAGGGGGCCGGCTGCATGGACCGGTGGTATGATCCACTAACAAGGGGGTACATGTGGCCACCAAAATACTCAAAACCGAGGCTTTTCGTTTGTTCTTTTTTGTGTGGATTCAGAACAAACTACGAATTTGGCCCTTTATATCACCCCTACCCCCTTCTGTTTCTACCCCTACCCTTTTTGGTCCTATTATAAACGGTCACAGGACCCCTATTGTGAAACATTGACGCACCCCACCCATATTTTCCCGATGCAACCCCACCATGATTTTGACTGTTATGGGCCAGGTGTCCTTCTTACCATCATAGGGAAGCAAGGATTTTGTATAGGTCTCCTCCAACACACTTTGCGATAGAGATGACCCTGACGTTTCAACTAGTACCACCCTGAGCAGCTGCAATAGACTGTAAATAGAAATATCTAGAAGGGGGAGCCGTTCGCCATGCAACACTACTGGCACGGTTCTTTACTTGGCCAACCGGTCAGACCCCACCCTCCTGCTCTAGCCCTTGTTTCAGTCGGAGAACCCGGTGGTCGATCTCCCATCCATTCGTTTCTGTTACCGTTGCTTTCTCGTTGTTTTGGAGCCGATAAGTTTTGAGTCGGTGAGTCAAACTCGGTCAGTTGTGGCGTTGCTGTGGTACCCTTGGCTCTCTAAAAAGTTTTTATCTGTACCAAGTCATCAAGACCAAAAAGGACTACAACTGTACCAAGTTTACCAAAAAGCATTTTGTATTTCCGTACAAACGATGCCAAATTTGGAGTTACGGTAGTGGCAGTGATTTTGAGGAGTACCGGCAGTAGCAGACGGAATGTTTCGTTTTTTTGGGTGACTTTATGCCCTCAAGGGATCTGACTATCTCAGCAGTCACGAATCTCTCCCGGCCTTAACAGTGCGGGAATTGCCCGAGCCGTCAGCAAGTCACGCCATGCAAAGCTCAGCCGAGAGTCACACCACTCAGGTGACTGTCACATGTACGGTACCGTCACCGCCGGTATGGTCTGCCGGAAACAGTCGTGACGGTCGGTCCCGCTGAGTCGGAACGGTAACGGCGGCGTTCAACGGTTGAACCGTTGATCATCAGGTGATCTGTTGTGAGCACGGCCGGCCGCCCGCGCGGCCGGGCCGGCCGGGCCGCCGGGCCGCGCGGTTGCAACCCCGGGGGGGGCCGCTGAGTGCACGGCGGCCGGTCACGTTGCCCGGCCCCCCCGGGACTCGGAGCGGCCGCCGCCGCCGCCGCCGCCGCCGCCGCCGCCGCACTGATCGGGCCACTGCCGCGCACCGTGACTGACGATGCCGTCATCAGTGACAGAGCCACGGTCGGACCTCACCGGCCCCCCCGGTGGCCGGGCCGTGGCATCACTGACTTCTGATCCGCACGGAGTCGGGCCGTCCAACTTGTTTGTCCGTTGACAGTAATGGCACCGGCCAAGAAGGGGAAGGGAGGGAAGAAGAAGACATCGCAAGGGAAGAAGGAAGACCGTCTTGCTGCGGTTCCTGCTCTTGACCTCAAGTCTCATCGCTCTGACTCGCCAACTGCAGCAGATTGGCCCGCTGTTCAGTGATGGGTTGATAGATCCTGTAAAAGGAGGTAAGGTGTTTGCAGCGAGACTGGGAAGAAGCTACGAGATCACGGCACTCTCATGTGATGCTTGTTTTCAGCGATGTGAGCTTGAGATAGGTTCCCCCTGGAGCTGTCGAGACCAACAATGTGATTGCAATCAAAGTGTTCGAGTTCGAAGGCAAAGACCCCGAGGGTTTCACGATGGAGGGAAGAATCGTTAGCAATCGGGTTGAGATCATCAACGGCGCACAGGTTTCTCGCGCTGACATGTCATCGTCCTCGTAGGTAGAGATTCATCCCTTCAACATCGAGTTCATCCAACCCGTCGAAGTGAAGATACCGCACTGCTGCGCAGATGAAGATGCGCAGCAGACCATGTATGCAGCCTCCTTCAGCGTTCTTCAGGACGGCACTCAGCTCGCACAAGAGGCGACAGGAACGATGGTATGGTGACTGGTGCCAGACATTCTGCCTTGTTCTCATGACTGCATTCACATCTCAGGAAGCAGAGAATGCAGACTTGCAGTGGGAGTTCCACAAGTTGCCTGTTACCAAGGTGGATATTGAGAGAGGAGTTGCAACGATCAACATCAAGTCCACTGGCATCTATTACATCTGCTCGTCTTCGGCTCACAACATGGACTTTGCGGTGCATGCGATGGCTACACGGGATGACAAGAATCGTTGACCTGCTGTCAGGTCTGCACTTACGACATTCCAGCGATCAACAAGGCGAGCGTGACAGCATTCAACGCTGTTGCGTTTGACTGGGTGCTGGATGAGTATCTGAGGTCCTTTCAACATTGACTTGCTACAGATCACTGGCAAAGTTTCCCTCTGGCCTCGGACTTCCTTCAACCGTCCAATCGGCGCTGACGGGCCGGTGAGGGTCAAAAGAAGCTCCAAGTAGGAGGAGGAGCAGACTACCTTGTGCTCCCCTGACATGATCCGCAAACAGAGTACTGGTTGACTTCGAAGCCAAGAGAACGAGAAGCCTTCATAGCAACAACGTCTCCACCTACGAACAAACGTGTGAGGCCCTCCCTCCTGCCTCGTCGCTGATGCTAGTCTCCTCAGCTTCCATCTTGAAGGATGCAAAACGGATGTTCTGACCGGGCTACCAGCGGGAAGGTGACTCTTTCACGCTGTTCGGACTTAGATTAAATGGTTGTCGTAAGGAATGAGACGCGAACAACACACCTGGATGCAGACATCTACGAGAAGATGTGCGTGTCTTGGCTCATGCAACGCCTTGACACTGGAGCAGAAACTATGTGATCCGGGTTATTCCAGAAGACCTTGCCTCCACGCTAGAGAATGCAAAGAAAGAACTAGAAGATGTGCGAGTAATACGTCACGTCATTGCCTCTGATGCGCGCATCTCAAGGTCCGCCAGCGCATTCAGAAAAAGGAAGAGCAGTCAAGTGTCATACGAAAGCGAACTGAATCTCCGTCGAGCAAAATGTTCCTTCGATGCATGGAACCTTTGCCTTTTGTATGTTTGACATGTGCGGAACCCAGGTATTTCTTAAGCATCAAAGAAGCCGAGCAAGATGTCAAAAATGCATATGAGATGTAATGACGAGGAAAGCAACTCGCTGCACATTGTGAGACTTGTATCACTAGGTGTATCGCATACCTCGAGAAGGCCGACGGTGCACATGATGGTGAACACTTCAACAGCATCCTCATACGTCATAACGAGCTGATCATGCACAGAGAAATCAAAGGAGAGTGGCAAGCAGAACCTACCTCAATGGCGAGGCAATGATTTGCACTTCTACTTCGGAGTGAAACTGATTCCAGAGGCTGGGTGAGTGAGAATGATGCAGCAGATCCGATCGGTGAATGTTAGCAGGTTCACACCTGAGAACATCATCACTCAAATCTCGCTCATCTATCCGAGCGCGACCAACGAGAAAGTTCAATTCCTCGAGGTTCCTCCCCTCGCCTCTCCTCCTGCTAATGTGCACAAAGGTGCCTGAGATCCCTCAGCCATCAGCTAGAGCGAGGAAGGTCCGAGTAGGATCAGAGAAGAGTCAGATCTACAGCTTCAGCCCTGTGAGGCTCCTGACGGCTTCTGCCTGCTGCTTACTTTGAACAAGGTTATCACTCGTGCTACCTTCGCTGAGCTTCGAGTCAACATCAGTCTTGGTGACTGGAACAAGAGATGTCAAGTTCCTCTGTCGACGCAGGAACAGATGCTGAGCGACATCAGAACCATCGTCGAGTCTCACTGCTTCGGCAAGGAGCTTTCCGGGGCTCGCTTCATATCTTGTACCTTGCGCGATGCCATTTGCAAGTCACTGAGATCGAGCCAGCAAACGGGAAAGTCTTTGAGAAAGGAGAGGAGGGGCAGGTACGAGTTCAGTCTCTCCGACCGAGCGTCGGGCTGTGGGGCCGGCTCAGTCGAATGAGCGAGGACATGTGCCAACGCTTCGCTGCGCTCCCAAGTGAGTGAGCCCTCAGCCTACCGCCCAGTGACGCTGAGCTCGCAGACATTTCCTTCTCCTTCTGTCCTGACCGCGAGCCGATCGCCAGAGCCATCTTTGAGGACATGAGGGCGAGGGGGTTCCCGGTAACGGCGACCTCGTTGCTGCAAGGGCTCTGACTTCGAGCGCAGCTGACAGACTCTAAGGAGGACAAGCAGTCGCTAGGGCTTCTGATCTGCTTCCCTTCTCCTCTCTACACGGAATGCACGAGCTGCATGGAGCAATATAATCGCCACCTCCAGCTCGGACTCCCGCGTTTTCACTTGTGGACCATGGCGTTCGACGTGCGAGGATGGTTGAAAAACATGGTCAAGGAGCAGGTTGGCGGGAGGGGGAGGAAGGGAACGACGGTGACAAGTCTCGCAGGTGGACAAGTCATTCGAGTATGAGGTGGAGACCAACGAAGAGGGTCTGATGTCGAACAAGGTCAGCTGTAATCTTCGGGGAGAAGGCCTCATTTGCTCGCAGGATGTGGATGAGATTGCAGTGAAGGTGCTGGAGGAGTACAAGAAGTCTGTGCCCGAATACCAGCAGATAATGAGCTCTTTCATCGTCCTGCCCATGTTGCGGCAAGAAGACGAGGGGCAAGACAATCACGACAGTCTAATTCAGACACAGAAAGAGAAAGTCATGGTATGTTTCGTATGACAATGTCACTCATACACTCACGACGATGCAGGAGCTCGTTAACAAGAAAAGCATACCCAAGGGACGCAAAAAATCAGTGAGCGCAGCGAGCTCGAGGAGGAAAAGTTTGAGTTCTTGAAGAAGGCTACACACGCTTGGTGACTCGACTCCGGCTCCTGCCCTTCTTGGGCTTCTCCGCGAAAGGAGTTCCTCCTTTAAACATGAAGTCGTTGGTGTCCGTCTGAAGAGAAAGTCGCGGATCAGCAGCTCCTCAACATCAAAGGTCGCAGATACCACAGAGCGCGGAAGTTCGTCTACCGCAAAGTGGTGCAAGCTAGTGACCGAGTCCTCGGCCACCGTCTTGATCGGCTTGAAGCTATCATGCACGGTCGTCCAAGATTCTCCAAGAGCATCCTGAACCTTCTCGAAGTTCGTGTGGATCCCCTCCCCCTGCAGACTCCTGCCCAGTCTCTGTCCGAAGTTGGACATCCCTTCTCCTAGATCGGATAACGACTGTTTCACCTGCTCGGGCTTCAGAGCATGGACATCGGACCGAGCCGAGCTGACCTTGTCCCAGCTCTCTGTCAGGAATCCTTGAGACTCGTCCGCTTTGGTGGAGGGATCATGCGACATTCTAGCAAGCAAGTGAGATGAGCAGCGTCAATCTCGGCGAGTCAACTCTATTCAAGTGCATCTCCTACTCAAACCTCTTGCCCGCCTCTTGGACTCCTATCGCCGTCCCCTCGCTTTCTACACGCCTCACCAACCCCCTCGTCTCCTCGTCGTCTCCTCCTCGCGTTCCCCTCACTCTGCATCGGTGTCTTCGATCTCTATCCTCGTGATGCTCGTTCTCCTCCTGCTTGTCGCTCCTCGTGCGTCCTCGCCCTCCTCTGCATCTGCCAGGGTCTGCAGACCGCCATGCCTCCTCCTAGAGAGTCGCATGATTTCAAGCCCGCCTCAATAAGATTTTTTTAAACACTAGTTTGAACATGGCGCGAACGCGAGGGCAAACAATGGCAGGCCTGTTTCCCCCTACCAGAGAGCAGGAGGATGAGATTGAACATGCCTTCTCTCTCATAACAGTTCGTTTGCTATGATGTCTTGTGGCTCAATCTTACTCGTGAAAAGCAGGAAGGAAATGATGACTACGTTGATTTCCATCGAGTCAAAGTAGTCCTCAAAGCTATGGGCATGCAGCCGAGAAAAGGAGAGCTGCAACAGGTTTTCCTCTCCCTCTGTTGTCTTCATTCTCTGCCCTGCGAGGCCTCGTTGAGCATAACCTGAACTGTGCTTTCCCTCTGTCAGACGCTGGAGGTTGCATGCCCTCTGTCCGATGGCTCGCGGATCTCTAAGGAAGAATTCACTGCGATCGTAAGCGTTTTAAAGACAAACATCTTGTTCTCCTCGCCAAGTCACTTCTCAATAGATGATGCGCTTTCTTGCTCGACGGGATTCAGCAACCAGGCTGATGCAAGACTTTGACACGATCGATTATGGTTCAAGCTCAGATGTACTTTCCTCCAGAGTGCTGATATACGGCCATGTGCAGGATGCAAAGGCTTCATTGACATTAAAGATCTTCAGAGACTTTCGAAGAATGTTGAAGGGGAATCTCGACCAGATTCGGTCTTGAGGGAGATGTGAGCCCTGCTGATGAAGAATGTCCGTTCCTGACTGTTGCTCTAGGATAAGAAACTTTGACAAAGATGGGGATGGCAAATGGAAATTCGATGAATTTGTTACAGCTTTAGGTTACGAGCTTGAGAGAAAGAGGGGGATTGAAAACATCTTGTAACATAAATTTCATTAGCCGCTCAGCCACAACTCTGACATCAAGTTGACACAAAATCACACTCGCTGTGTCATAGTTTAGCAACAACACTGACACTTGGCAGGACCTGAAACTAGTTGTAGAGTATTCTTTTCTGTGCCGCTCACAGTTTCACCTGCTACAGCCTGCATCATAAGAACTTGCTAAGTCGGGTGTCAGTAGGCTCGCCGGCGCCGTGGCAACCGTCGCCGTCGGCCGCGCCCTCAAAGGCTGCCGAGTCAGTGAAGAAGCGAGCTACTGAGTCGGAGGACACCGATCCCCTACTTGATCGGACATGTCACTTCAAGCCGTCCGCCGTTGAAGGCTCGGCGCGGCGTGCCACTGATCAGCCTTCAATGAGTCCGACCCCACCGGGCGCCGGGCCGGGCTTCTGACACTGTGACGCGGCCGGGCCCCTAGGGGCGGCGTAGCATCATCGTCACGGTGACCCGGTCGCCTCAGTCAGAGTGTCGGATCCGGATCTTGCTTACTTAGGCTTCCATAGGCTGCCTCAGAGGTGAGGCTATTGAGCTGGCCAGGACAGCGAAGATGGATCCATCTTCAAATAGCTCGGGCCATGGCCCTTGTGGGACAGCTGCCTTGTTGTCTTGACAAGTCGTTGGGCCTTGTCAACCTAGTGCGCCGGCGCACAGTTTTTTGGTATGGCACTGGAGGTCGCAATGGGGAGCCGCTTGCTTCTTGGGTTCGGATGCTTACAGTGACACATCGGTATTGCAGCAGCTGACTCACTGTATCGAACTCGGCCCACTGCCAGCCTGTATCGTAGTAGCAGTGATCGGACTCAGCGAAGTTGGACGAGGATCGCTATCCGATGATCAGACTTAGTTAGCACAAGTTCTGCAGCATCTCACGACTCCATCAATCAAACACTCTCAGTTGACAAACAGAAATATTTTGTTCGAAAGTGAAAGCTGGAAAACTTCTCCGTGATCAGATAAGTGATGTCCACATTTCCGGGCAAACACGCCATGAAAGAGAAGAGAGGTGGAGAGACTAGGTGTAACAGTAACAAACATTTGACTGGCTGGTTGAGAGATGTTCCACTGGAACAGAACGCAAGGCTAAGGAAACAATGCTTGGACAACATCATTCACCATCGCATGCCGAACGAGGAAGCCGTTACATCACAGTCGCAAGTAGATGGCGATCAGACGAGCTTCCTTGCCGACAGTGCAAGTGGACACGCGGGAAGTGCTGATGGCCAGCCCGCAAGGATGGAGGAGAAATGTCCTGACTTCACTAAGGTATGGAGGCCATTGGATGAGACCAAGTCGTACCCGGGAGGTTTCTGTGAGAAAACTCCAACCAAGCTCAACACGAGCACATCTCCAATCTATCGAATACCAGCCAACATCTGTCATAGCAAGAACTCTTCTATCATACAAGGACTCTACGGCTTTGAGGTGAATTCCTCCAAAGAGGAACAAGACAGGAAAGGGTCGGCTGGCTTAAACGAACAAGTGCAATCAAGGATCGAGTGGATAACCTCGGCAGATTTAAGCTTCTTGAATTCAAATATGGATCGTCAAGAGGATTTAAAGGCATCTGAGGAAAACATGACGACGAATGAACATGTTTCACATGCTTTGAGGGAACAACACAGATGCATTTTCTTGTGCAATTCGCTTCTACAAGAGGTACCCAACAGAGTCTGGATAAACTTGTGTCTAAGTTTACGAATCAGGTTTCGAGCATACGCACAAGTCTTGCTGAGGAGCTTGAGAGTGTACTTTCTTGACTTGCCCTTATCTCAGCTTCAAGGTTAAAATGATGCTGTCTGCAGATTTCAGCTTGTCTGCAGTCGCCTGAGCAGCACAAAGTTATTGGGAAGGTGATCTTGTTGCTATTGATCCTCTCAGTGACTCCGTCCTGAAGCTTTCATATCGGGACAAAAAGGACGCAAAGGAAACCCGAGGTAACGCGGTCAAGGAACAAAGAGTGGAACTCAAGGCCAAACTCCCTACCAGCAGATATTTCAGGCTTTGAATGATACTTGAGAGCTGCACACAGATAATAATTAATCAAGGCAATCTTAAATACATTCTCGATAGATTGAGCAGACGTCAAGACGAGGAACGAGCTTGATCCTTTTCGACCCAAATACAGAAGATCTTTCTAGTCAGTAAACTCGTGTTTCCAAAAGTATCTTTATGTCTCTATTCGTAAATTGATGTGGCAGTGATGTCTCTATCGGTCTGCTCATGTAGTCTCTATCGGTCTGCTCATGTAGTCTCTATCGGTCTGCTCATGTAGTCTCTATCGGTCTGCTCATGTAGTCTCTATCGGTCTGCTCATGTAGTCTCTATCGGTCTGCTCATGTAGTCTCTATCGGTCTGCTCATGTAGTCTCTATCGGTCTGCTCATGTAGTCTCTATCGGTCTGCTCATGTAGTCTCTATCGGTCTGCTCATGTAGTCTCTATCGGTCTGCTCATGTAGTGTCTGTTGATGCAGTCGCATGTAGTCTCTTTGAAGCTTCATACACTCTGGTTGTGGATGAGGCGTTTCAAACAACCGTCATTAGGCCCGGCAGGGGGTGGGGTGGGGGTCCCAATTTCCTGTTGTTAGCAGTTCGAGGGGTAGGGTGGAGAGGATAAGAAAACCGACATGTCCGCTAGGTAGAAGACATGTACAGGAATCGAAGTAGAAGCTGATTGGACGAGTTGACGTTACAGACTGCCTTGATAACAACATCACAACCATCATCTCTCGTGTCTGATTGAAGTACTTTGGACTTTAAACTTCTTTGGATAGGCTCGAAACATGTTCAAGACACATTGCTCTGCTTTCATCTTGGCTGCCCTCCTGGGCTCCTCTAGTGCGCGCTGGACAGACACTTCATTGCTGACCGCCAACACCTTTCATGGACCAGATTTGAAATGGAAAGGTGACGTGACTGTAGATGGAAATACATACATCCGCAAAGTCGGGACTTCATACGTGGCAAAGTCTGTCATCACCGGGAAAGACTCTTTCTTCCCTTCTTCATTGCCCAATTCTTTGAAGAAACGATTCATATATCCTGATTCTACCCACCCGAATCTAGCGTTTTGGTTCACTCCAGACGTTTTTGATGAGGCAGGAGTAGCTGATGGACAGTATGTTTCAGTTTGGAAGAACGTGGCTAACATCTGCTATTATGGGTAAAGCCGTGAAGTTTGTTCACAGGCCAAATTTAAAATGTTCACGCAGGCATTCAGATTCCACCAGCTGCACTCCAGACAAGATCATGAACAAAGCACCGGTTGGACCCAACACCGCCCATGTCGAAACCCTGAAACAGCCAAATCCAGCTTATCAACCAACCTTCCATCGAAACGTCCTCCATGGTCATGGCAAGTGTTTGTGATTGTGAAGATGAAGGCGTTGTTCATGTAACATTGTGCTCAGGTGCTTTGAGGTTCGCAAGAAGTGATCGCCTTGGATTTCAAGGCAGCTTCATGGATATGTATAAGACATGCACGACAGTAGAATGTACGACGGCAGACACTGGACTTGGCTTCGTTACAGACTGGACAAACTCGCAATCATCAGCCCTCAATACAGAATTTACCATTTTCCTGGTTCTTAAAACGTTTCAAGACAGTTTGGATGTCAATCCAATGGGACTTCTGAATGTTGGAGATGAACAAAATCAAAACGGGTTCGGACTGTATAAAACAGATTACAAATGTCTCCCTGAATTCCGTGGGAAAATTTTAAATGGTTTATCACTATCAAATAATCTCGTCAGCCTTGTTTCCATGTACTCTCCAAGTCCTGATATAGGCAAATACAACGGAAGACGCCTTCTGATATATGACACACAGACGCAAGATTCGATTCCAATGAAGAAAGTCGTCTTGAATTGCAAGATTTCAAGCTATAGGATTGCACTTATCCTCAATCAGGATATCTCAGGGACAATTACGAGCGTCTTAGTGACCGGTGGTAACGGTGTCATTGCTGGAATCCCACAGAATCTAACTATTTATGCCTCTGTTGGATTGACCGATGGCTCTAAGGCCTCGCTCAACGTAACGAGCATTGCAGCTTCTAGCGGCAACACATTGCTCCAAATCGAGAGTGTGACGCTACCAGCCAGTGCAACTGCAGGGTCCAACATCTTCATCGGAGTCAGCCCGGGTGAATTTTACACCGCTGCCTTGGAGGACTGTCTCGGATCCACAACAACAACCGGAGTAGCAAATCCGATATTTCTCTCAAGCGCTTCTTATGATGTTGAAATAGTCAGAACCTCGAATTCAAAATGTCCTCAAGGAAAGTTCGAGCAATTCAGCACGATTTCGGCATACTATGGAAGCAGGTAACGCATGGATGAAACCCAAACAAGGTTGTTTTGCTGATTACTATGGCAGTGCTGATGATCAAGGAGACAACGGTTGTTTCAGTGAGTGCTCTAGGTTTGGATGTGACGCAAGATTCTCGTATTTCGGAACTTTGAGTTGGGAATTACAAAGCGGGATAAATTCATCAGAGACAAGTCTGACCATCCAGAGCAACTCCTACGACTTGCTCACCATCTCGCTGCAAGATCAAATTTTTGTCGACGATTATCTGCAACTTGAACAGGAAATTGTTCAAGTCACGTCCGTCTCTGCCGGATCAGTTACCGTCACTAGGGGCCAACTCCAAACAACTGCAGCTGACCATGCAATCAATACTGTTCTATTGCCTGTGAGCAAACCGAACACTTGCGTGAAGAAGTGGGGGTCTCAGAGGGTTTTACAAGACCCTGACAGACAATGGAGAATAGTAACAATAAGAGTGCAGGGTAATGAGTCGAAGGTGTACATAGACGGGCTTCATGATGGCTGCTCAAACGCCGATGGGTGCTCTCTCCAACCTCCAGTCTCTATCCTTAGCACTGCTTCTGTGCTTTCAAGCTTGAGACTTGGCACTATCGGCGTCAATTCTGCTGATGGAATTGTCAGATCAAGCTTCTCAAATGTGGACATCGCTGAAGTTCTGATTTATGACAAAGCTCTTTCAATGCAAGAGATGGATAGAGTTGGATATTACCTTTCTGTCAAGTTTGGAATCAAAAGCTTTCGAGTCAACAAGTTCATTAGATCTCCGACGCGCACGGGAGCTGTTTTGTTTGAACACGGTGAAGAATGCGATCAAGTGCTCTACAATGGTCATACCTCTCAGTTCTGCGATGGATTTTCAGATCCGAATGGATTACACGTCGCATCAAACTGTGTCATTGACGGCGAGTACCTCACACTCTCCAAGTACAAGGCAGATGCAGACACAGACAACTATTATGTCGGCATGCGCCTGGTAGTAACTGCTGGAAACAGGAATTCAGATGGATCAATTCAAAGCGCGGTAGGCGAAAGTTGCATCATCACAGGATATGATGCCAAACTCAGAAAGGTCGCATGCGATTTGACGGATTCTGGCAACTATGGGTACTTGCTGTGGGGCGGTGCTGCGTTTCCATGCGTCAATTCAGGACCTCACCCAACTCTTGGAGGGCAATGCGGAGCTCAATACGTGCAGACCGACGCCATTCTAGCATCAGACACCTCAGTCACAGTCACTTGGGCCCCCAAGAAGTTTCAAACTCCAATCTATGCCACTCTAGGAAACTCGCAGGCTCTTGAAGTGATACTGATCAACTCGATCTCAGTTAGTGACATCTCCTATCAGCTGTCTATCACTCGCGGCATGGGTCCAACTCTTGCTCAAAATTTCTCTTGGAACGTCCTGAAAGAGATGCAATCAGCGTCGCGAATAGTCTATGCACGTTCATTCCTCGTTCGAAATGTGTCTGCGGGGAGTCAGACTCTTTATGTTGCTACGGTGATGGACAAGTGCCCAGAAAGGATTGCAGACCCGCTGTGTCCCCTGGCGAACGATCATATTGGTTACCTCAGTGCCAACCTCGCCAACCTCCTGGTCAAGTTGAGTCATTCCACCTCAAACTCGTCTTTCTATGTCACCTCCATCAAATTTGCGCAGTGGACTTTGCAACAAGCAGTGGATAGCGCAACCATGGAGTTCAAAGTTAGCGTGCCCACACAAAATGAAATCCAGCCGAACGATTACCTTCAGATAGACGGAGAATATGTTCAAGTCACGGCAGTCTCATGGTCCTCACAGTCAACAAACCTGACAGTTGTGAGGTCACAGATGGGTAGCTCAGCAACCGCCCATCAAGCCTCGAGTACTTTGACTTTGGTCCTGGTTGACAAGAGACCGGTTCTTGTCTTGACTTGTTCTGCTGCGTCCACGACAGACATGGACGCTTCATCGGGGTATTTGGTTGATTTTGCATGGATGCCTCAAAGTTCCTTTGTGCCAAACGACAAGTACCTGCAAAACGTGGGCAAATCTGAATATTCCATTGAAATCTGTGACAAGTACAATGCTCCATTTAGTCAGGACGCTCCATTTCAAGTATTGCAAGATGAAAATCTCAACAGACACTCTGTTCGCGGGGCTGACTCTGCCATTACCACTGAAGGGTTCACACACCTCGGGTATGTCTCAAGCGTGGGTGTTGTGCAGAAGCAGAATTACTTGTCTTCGATCTCGGGGGCTGCGAACACATCCTTGTTTGAGATCAAGGGATGGTACCTGACGCCCTCAGACCTCGACATCACTGGCGGCGACTCCAACTCCTACATCAACGGGCCCAAGGCGGAGAGAAACTCCAACTACCTGCATGTCAGCCTGGGATCGCATGGGTCCGATGCGGTGAGCCTCAACTGCCACATCGTTAGCGTCCCCGAGGGCTTTTGCGAGAAGGACTACAGCATCCCATGCAGCTGTCACATGACTGCCAACTGTTCGTCAGAGTGCTCGACCGGCTACTGCCTGACCGGGCCCTCGTCTGGCCTGGATCACTCCTGGTATGGGGTGAAGAAGCCGTCCATCTTGTGCGATCTCACCGAAGATGCTCATGCGCACCAGACCCTCAACATCTACTGGCACGGAGTCGTGACATCGCTATCCAACTGGTACAGGACGCCGACTCCGGTCGTGACGTCCTTGAGCCCTCCAATGGCTCCTTACTATGGTGGAATCTCCATCACAATCCGGGGGATGTTCTTCGGAGGAGCAGCGACGTGGCGAGGACGGGCGAGGACAAAGTCTCCGAGCGTGATGATCATCGGCAAGAGCATGATACGCAAGTGTGACAATGTCGAGTATATTTCTTCTGGCCAGCTTGTTTGTACTCTGCCAGCTCTTGCTCTCAGCAAGCAAATGTACGATCCTGTCACGAGAACTATTGTTGTGAACGTTTTAGTGGATACTGGAGAGAAGAGGAGCCATCAAGACCAGCACTCGAAGTTCATCTACACATCCATTCCTGCTTTTTTCAGCTGCGACAACATAATGGTTGCTCAGAACGACTGCTACAATTGCTGTCGCAGGTCATGTTTTACTGATGTGAGGACTCAAACGATAGATCCTGCGTCAATCGATGCTGTATGTACATCAAATTGCACCGCTTATTGTCACATGTGAGGAAAAGATATTTTGTTGAGGAAATATGCGGTTTGTTTGGAATATGATTAAACTTGTTAATCTAACATCGATGTGACATCACTTCTTCTTTTTCCCAGCTGCTTTTCCCTTCTTTCCCTTCTTCTTCTTCGGATTCTTGAGGTCAGACACACACTCTCGAGCGAGATGCATGCGGATGTTGCATTGCAGAAGGGTTGCAGCACGAAACTCTCTTTCCGCCGCCGCAACTCGCATGGCCTCAAGTTCTTTCATTCTCCTCTCTTCGTCTTCCTTGGCTTGTCTTGCAGCGATGTCTTGGTTGTATCGCTTCTCCAGCTCGTACAATCTCAATAGATCAGATTCACGTTCTTCTTTCAAGTTCTCCAGCTCCTTTGTCTTGAAAGCCAAGTCCGCCTCGAACTTGTGATCCCATGCCTCAGATTTCTCGGACATGGCAACTAACTTCCTTCTCTGAAATTCCTGTTGAAGCTCGTTGGCTTGTTTTTCTATGTCGATTTCTTTCTCGATCTGTTCAATCCGATCTTGCAATTCTTTCATCTCTTTTTCTCGTTCTCGCTGTGTGCAGTGGTAATTCGCTTTAAACTCCTTTGCAAGATATCGAAGCTCGATCGCAGTCTCCGATTTCTTCGCTTGCAATGTTTCTTTCAACTCCGCAATCAACTCGTTCTTGCTCAAAACCTCTCTCTCAAAGTTGCTTCGTTCTTCGTTGAGCTCTTGTTTCAACCTGGCCACAGACTCGCTCAGCTCTTTCTCACGCGCCAGAACTACTTTCATGTGCTCCATCATCCGCTGGCCTTTCTCAACAACTTCCGCCAAAGAGTTGAAACTTGCAAATTGCATTTCATGTGCTGGGTTGACAAGTAGAGTCTCAAGCGCTCCACGTTCAGCTCGAATCTTTTGCATATTCCCTTCTAAGTTTGGGTTGTCTTGCAAATTTCTTGTCAAAACTTTGGTGCTCTGCCTCAGAGACTGAGCGACTTGCTGGATCTCATTTTCATTCGCCTGATACTTCATTCTGTTTGAAATGCCTTTCATATTCCTCCTCTCTTGAATGAGCTCTTCGTATCTCCTCTCCAAGGACCTCTGATCCTGCATAATCCTTGAAATCTCTTCTCCCAGCATACTTCCCAGCTCCTCATTATGGAAATCTGAAGTCAGAGATGCAAGGATTCCTAGTTTTTCAACCTGGCCAGCACGAGTCAAGCACATCAGATCAGGATTGACTGAGGTACCGCTGTTTCAATTGTGGCCGTAATCCGCTGACACTCGACCAGAGTGAAAGAATCCATCCTGCTGCATGAAGTTACAAGAGCATCAAGAGATTTCCTCCAAGCTGAGAGCAGCTTGCATAATTAACATCAAACATGACTCCTTTCGGCGTTGAATTCTTCGCCTCTAACTTCAGGCTGACTTTGCGCTCTTGCTACTTTGTTGCCCTCCACTGTGTGCCTATCACAACATCGCGTTCTCGTCTTCCTCTCTTGTCTCTCCTCGGCTTGTTAGCACTGAGCTCGCACTAAGAGTCATGCAGCTGCCATGATGGCACTGCCTGCAAACGTGCGGGGGCTTGCCCATCATGCTGCTGCCTGGCCAACGGCCGTCCGATCAGATCGTGGGCCTCCTGATTGTCCTCGTACTGATTTTTAACTTAACTTTGAGTAAAGTCGGACCGAGTAGGCCCTCCGACAGTAGTCAGGTTGTCCTCGTACTGATTTTTAACTTAACTTTGTACCGTACTAGCCTCTTGTCGCCTGAAAGCCTACTTAAGTTAAAAACATGAAAGTCGAGCGATGTCGCTGTGGCCGCCGCCGAAGGCATGAAACGCATATTTCAAGTTTCATGATTTGGAAGCTGATATACGGGGTACTTCACCTGAAATACATCCTGGACCTCATCGATCTTGACAGTTTCACACTGCATTGAATATACAGATTGCAGGCACATGTGCTCGGATATCAAATTTGAGTCAACGCTCTTCAGCAGACTCCGATCATACAGACGGTCTTTCTGTTCAAAGTCTCGAGGTGCATGCTGCGTTTGTCTTGTTACTTGCCCGGCACTGCATCATGTGCTCGCAGACCATCGGCAAAGCTGCGTGTGTTGTGTTACGATCATGATACGGAGACGGTGGTCGACATTGCAAGCTTGCAGCCTTTTCAAGAGGGTACAACTGTACAAGCCTGACGGAGATAAGCTGCACGGGGAGAGCGAAGAGGTGATTGAAATGGGATGTCAGAGAAGAGAAGGGAAGAGAAAAACGACGAGAATTCTCGTGACGACGAGAATGTATTCAAAAGAAGGCATAATTGACCTTTCTAATGCAAACAAGGACGAGTTCACGGAGGGTCATGTCAGACTTGCTTGTGAGGTTCAAACATGTTTAAGTTTCCTCACTTGTCAGTCTCTGATATGTACAAACGCTCGCAGTTCACACCCGCGTCGAGCTCAGACGATGTTGAGATCGACAGCAAGCAGGAGAACAATCATAGTTTGCAGTTGTTGGAGGACAGGATCGAGAACAGAGAGTGAGTTCAGCCCTGTGGTTGTGTGTGCAGGTTTGAAACATTCACAGTAGGTGTGTCCGGTGCGCTACTGTCGGTATTTTTCCTGGTACAAATTTCACCGACAGTTCGTTAAATTTCAGTACAACCGTTCTCAACGGTAAACGTACAGACAACAGTACCCTACCGCCGACAGTTCTTACTATTTGTCAAATCCAATACGGCCAGAATAACGTCACCGACAGTAGCGTACCGGACACACCTACTGGAGAGGCCAAACGCGAGACCCGATTTGCATGGAAAACATCTGGAAATGATTTCATGACGAAATTTTCATGTGAAAATTAATTATTGTTTTTAACGACTTATAATTATTTTCTAAAAGTCACACTGTGAACTGGGTGCGTGTCACAGGATCTCAAGATTCAATTGGTACAATTTCATCTCATTGAAAACGAACTATAATAATAATAATAACAAACCAATATCAGGAAAGATTTCGCTTTTGCGCTCGACCCAGCTGTTTTGTGTATGAACGCGGAGATGTCGTACAGTTCCAAGCTGTCCAGCTCTCTTGTGCTCTTCTTTCTCATCAAAAGCTCAGTGCAAGGTGATCGCATTTGTGGCAAGGACAAGATTCTCAACCAAGCGATGTGTACGAGCTGTTGCGACATGCAACATCTCCCCTGCTCGACAGACAAGCAGTACTCGACTTGTTGCGTTGACTCAAACTGTACGGCATCAACACGCAGCGGAGCCAGTTGTACAATTTCAAGCCCATGCTATTTTGCGATGCTCGACTACTGCTGCACACCATGCCCCCCGGGGAATTTTTCAACCGACACCGCTCAAGGATCAGGTTGTTTCCCTTGCTCGCAAGATCAGATAGTCACCGATACTGGTTGCATCCAACGGAATACCTCGAATAAAAAAGATCCGGCGCGTGAAAATCATCCCCAGAAGCCCTGGTTCATGAAGAGTGGCCTATCTTCTATCGCCTTCATCGTCATTCTCTCGCTCCATTTCTTTGTAGTCTTCATCACTGTCGTCTTGCAGAACTGCACTGTCGATCAACAAGATACCCGTTTTGTCGGCAAGTGCTTGCTCCCGGTGCTATGGTTCGTGTATGATATTTCGTTCATGAGCGCAAGGTTCAACTGGTTCTTGACATCCTCGGAAGCTAGGGAAATGATGACATACAGTGTCAATGGCAACCCTGACAATCTCATATGGCTGTCCAAAGATGACATTAAATACCAAACTTGTGCCCCCCCCAGCTCGCTCAGCTACATCGGGCAGAATGCAACTTTGTGCAAGTTTAGCGTGTTTGAATTCACGACCAATATTCTTGGGCAAGAGAGCAAATACGAGAACAACTCGTCCAAGTTTAGTGTTGGCCTAGGACTCATCATTTGGTCCTGCATTTCCATTTACATGATGATGAAGCAAGCGGACCTTGAGAGTGAGTGGAAAGAAGATGTTGAATGTGAGGAGGAGAAGGAGAAGGAGAAGGAGGAGGAGGAGGAGGAGGAGGAGGAGGAGGAGGAGGAGGAGGAGGAGGAGGAGGAGGCCCACAGCGCTAGTGATGTCGTCCCTGGAGTCAGTGCTACGGAGCAGCCAAGAGCAGTGACAGCGATTGCAGTCAGCAGCCCCTTCGAGACTAATCAGAAAGGATGCCACCAGACAAAGTGGGAATGGCTAAAGCGCAGAGCTCTCGGGGTTGTGATCTCATCGCTTCTGGCGAGCCAGCAGTCGCTTGTCTTGCTTCCTCTGACCTCGATGGAGATCACACCGCACTGCTATGAGCTACAGAGCGATCTCCCGGTCACCTCAAGGCAGGCAGCGTGCTGGCACAAGTGGTCTACCGCAGGGATACCTTACGGAGTTCCTGCTATCGCGGTTGGCTTCTTGCTCACCTTGATATGTTACCCGGACTCGGACAAGGAGGAGGCTGGTTGCTGCATATCCTTGATCACGGGGCTCCTGTTCTTGACCGGAGTTGTTTTGTTCCTCACCGGAGTCGGGCTCTTCTTGTTTTGGCTCTTTGGTGGCATCATCATCGGGGCTTGGTTTACCTACACCTCAACGAAGATTCTTCTTGACCTGGCTTTCACAAAGATCTTTGCTCCCGTCCTCATTCTTATTTCTAGTGACTTCGTCTTGCAATACGCCGTTGTACCGACTCGCTGCACATGGTTTCGAGTTCCTCGAGGGATCGTCAGTATGAAGATGAACCTCTTCCATGTCAAAGCTCGAGTGGACGGCCGGGTTTCCTCCGCCTTCCGAGAGCTGGCAAAGAGGTACCTGCCCTGCTGCTCGTGCGACTTCCAACCTCAGCAGCAAGGGAATGGCCCTTCCGAGTCCAGCCTTACGAACCAACCGTCTGATGAGGCGATCAGAAACGTCGTGGATACGATGGAGAAAGCCCTGGAAGTGCAAGACAAACGAAGCAAAAAATCGCGGCGCAGGGAGAACTTGCATCCTTATGACGTGTAGCCTTCACATTGAACGGTGTTTTCGGACATGTCACAGTGCTGAGTGCTTGCTATAAGCCTGAATTCATTCCTGAGATGTTAACTAAAGTATAGTATAACCCGACCGGCGGCGACCGGGCCCGAACCGGGCCACTCGCCTCCCCAGCCTCTCCCGGACTTCTATGAAGTGGAGCGCCTACTCGCTGATCGAACGCAGCGCGGACGCAAGGAGTATCTCGTTCGCTGGAAAGGTTTCTCCTCTGCTGATGACACATGGGAACCAGTGGAACATCTCGTTCGCACTCGAGCGCTTCGCAACTTGGTTCAACGCTACGACAGGGCCAAACAGCGTGAGCGACGTCCGGTACCTTCCTCTGCTCAGGGACGGCGTTCACGCCGCCTTTGACCGCTCTTTGACTTTGGTCTAGGTGCGAGTTTGCGGGAGCGTATCAGAGCAAAGAAAGCGAAGTTTTCTGAGTCCTGAGCACTCCAAGAAAGCGCAGAAAGAGCGTATCAGAGCTCATAGGATAGCGAGCCCAACACAGGAGCGGTCAACACTCGAAATGTGGACAGCACACAAGGATAGCCTCTACAACTATCCAGACGAAAGACAGTGATTCTCTAACGGCTACTTTGGTTCAGAAGTCGGACCCCTCCGGGACGGCTTCCCTATAGTATCAAGCACCGGTGGAGCTCTCCTTTCTGGTAGAAACAAGAACAGGAGCAGGGCATGGACCAAAGGGGCCATAGCGACGGCACGAGGCAGGAAGACTCGTGCAAGCGAGGACCACTACCCCTGGGACTTCCACAGGGCTATAAAAGGATCAAGATCTTCATCTCTAGGTGGTCTGTCTTCCCTCCCTCTGTGTACCACGCATTTCCCTGTGTTGGTGTGGTTGCTGCAATAAAGCTTGATAATACTGTCTAGCACCTTCTGTGTGATCCAGCGGAGGTTCTTTGAGCATTCGCTTGGCTAGTGTGCAACCCGTAAAGCTTCGGGGTGTAACATAAATTGCAGCCACGGCCACAGCGGCTCAACTTGAAGGCTTGGCAAGGCCCGGCAGCGCCCTGTCCTTAGTCGCGGCCACTGGCATCATCAAGTCGCGGCCCCGCGGTGAAACCGGGCGGGGCGGCCGCCATCGATGGCGGCATGAGTACCGTACAGTCACAGCGGGCCTTGCCGCCAGCCACCGGCATGACTGGCACTGCGCCGCCGCGTGTGCCGGACGGTGGGTGGCCCCGGCGGGCCGCGCCGGCGGCGGCGGGCCGCGGCGGCGGTGACTCACCCCGGTTCCTTCCTCGTCTCAGGCGGGCCCAGTGGAGTGGCGGCAGGGCGCGTCCATGCCAAGTGGAGCGAAGAAACTTCGGAGGCACAAGCAGTCGGAGGCACAAGCAGTCGAAGCTGAAGGCTGACACAAGCTAAGACTGAGTGAGCATACCAGCTAAGACTGAGTGAGCATACCAGCTAAGACTGAGTGAGCATACCAGCTAAGACTGAGTGAGCATACCAGCTAAGACTGAGTGAGCATACCAGCTAAGACTGAGTGAGCATACCAGCTAAGACTGAGTGAGCATACCAGCTAAGACTGAGTGAGCATACCAGCTAAGACTGAGTGAGCATGCCAGCTAAGACTGAGTGAGCATACCAGCTAAGACTGAGTGAGCATACCAGCTAAGACTGAGTGAGCATGCCAGCTAAGACTGAGTGAGCATACCAGCTAAGACTGAGTGAGCATACCAGCTAAGACTGAGTGAGCATACCAGCTAAGACTGAGTGAGCATGCCAGCTAAGACTGAGTGAGCATACCAGCTAAGACTGAGTGAGCATACCAGCTAAGACTGAGTGAGCATACCAGCTAAGACTGAGTGAGCATACCAGCTAAGACTGAGTGAGCATACCAGCTAAGACTGAGTGAGCATGCCAGCTAAGACTGAGTGAGCATACCAGCTAAGACTGAGTGAGCATACCAGCTAAGACTGAGTGAGCATACCAGCTAAGACTGAGTGAGCATATCAGTTTTAAGGCTGGTGAGTATGGCAGAAACGAAAGCTGAAAATTGCGTTGACTCCATGAAGACATCTCGAATATTGAAAACATACATGTCAGGGCGCTGGTTTTGAACCTCGTGGTGTGCACTGCCAGCCATGTCGAACAAAATGTAACGTGATCAAGATATGAAATATCATCGAGAGCTTGCAGAACTTGCTCGGGAGGGTAAACTCACATCCTTCGATGCTTCCATGGCAGACCTGCTCTGTGATTCGGACGAGCATGGTTGGCTGCAGGATGACCTGCAAGGCTGCAGCATTCGTGGGCCTGGGTTCTCTTTGGACGGCTCCAGCATAGTTCACTGGGAGGTGGCAGTTCGTGGTATTGGAGGCGAAGTCTACAGCGCGTGCCTGGTAGGAGGAAGCGATTCTCAAGGTCGCCCCGATCGACTGCAAGCCGCTGCGGAGTGTGAGAGTGAAGACCTGGTGAAGGCTCTGATCGATTGCTCTCTTGCCAGCAACGGCTTCGCACAGGAGTTCTCTTCCTCTTCGTCCTCCGCAGCCCGCGAATACGAGAGAAGTTTAGACCTGGACCTGGTAAGGGTTGTGCTGCCTTCCGCCTATCTCAAGCGTGACTTGCCGTTGTTAGATTGTGAATCATAGCTGTCCTGAGGCTTGTGACATCCTTGCAGACCTCCGCGACTTCTTGCACAAGATGCAAGCTTTGTCCTCTACCACGACAACTGCACATCATGATCTTTCTTCGCAGAATCAGACAACTGCCTCACCCGAGGGAAAGCAGACAGGAGCAGGAGATAAGCTTTCCAGAAGTCTTGTAGACGAGGAACGAGGTCTGGTTAAGGTGAACGAAGGCTTGCCAAAACTTCATCGAGTCAATGGCTCGTCGCGCTCAGCGCAAGGGAGTCGAACTCATGCAGGAACAGAATCATCCGATCAGAATGCAAACAGCATTCTATGCACATCCATCACATCGCTGACAGTATCATCAATCCAGGGGCTTCAAGGGGAGGAGATGCAGGACTACAAGAGTGAAAAGTTCGACATACTTGAGGAGGAAGTCCAGCTAGTTCTGAAAGACCTCACGCTCAAGTTGTTGGACATTGATCGGCTTATTTCTGTACGAGAGTTGGGAGAATTGATCCATGAAGATGAGAACAAAAGATTGCAGACTAGACGTGACATTCTTCGAGATTGTTCAATACTTGTGCTACTCGTACAACCAACTTGGTTGTCCACTCCTTTTGTTTCGCAGGTTTTTGATCTACTCTGTGTCAATCGAGCAGTTTTTATTGTCTCCTTATCCAAAGACCCCGTCGACAAGATAGATCTCGAGATAAACAATCAAAATCTACAAATTTTTGACAGCAGGGGCCCATCCATTGAACGGCTTGTCCATCTGATCAAAGCAAGAACTTCTCCAGGCCGTGAAGAACACGGAGCAGATATCGTCACCATAATTTACAGGTAGAGGCTTTATCTGGTTTTTTTCCTCACGACATTGGCAGTTGGAAGAACTCTTTGGATGCATACGAGCAAGGAAGCATACCCTCCTTGAATTCTTGTAGAAATTCTTTCGAAGATCCCCGTATGATTCAATACCAGCTTCAAAGATACTTTGATGGCATTAATGGCTTTCACTGTTGGATTGATATTGAACATGGCAGTGACTTGATGAGATTTGGGAGACTCTCGTCGCATTTGAGGGCTCAATACAAGTCAAAATGCGTTATCGTTGCTGCAAGTGACGATTTATTGGCTGATAGCGAAAATTTCCTCAGGGAATTCATGCTTGAGTCTGGTTTCCATCTTTCAATTCCCGTTGTCGTTGTTCAGCTTGGTGAACTCCAACCTGCAAACAAATCTCTGTATGATAGCGACTTACAAAGGCTGTTGCTTGCTCACAAGTCAATCCGATTCTCAGGTATTGAGGAAAAAGGGACATTCGAAATGCGTGTTCACCAATTGGCACGATTGGTAGAAAAAGAGATAAGGATGCAGTCTTGCATCGAGAATAGCGTGCCTTTGATTCCCCGACCTCTCATTGTTCATCACACTGGACAGAATTCAAGCAATGACGCCAGGAACTCTCACTTTGAAAGCTTCTCATTTCTGCGCAACGCAAGGATGAGAATTATGAACAGATTTCTGCGAGTGACAAAGGTCTGTCGTCATGGTGACATGCACCTTGTTCCAGGAGATCTTTGCGCGTTTGTTGGTTTTGAGCAGGAAGCTCTTGCAGTGGAAGCATACAACCCACCGTCATCCAGAGTCAGAGATCAGTTGCAGTTGATCAAGGGAGAACGGATCAAGCTCCTCCACAAAATTCCTCTGGAAGTCGAGGACGGATTATGGTATGAAGGACAAAATAAAAAAGGTAGAAAAGGACTGGTGCCTTCAAGTCATCTTCAAGTTTTGAGCGCTGGAAACAAGATCTGGGTGTGCGATTCTGTGCATCAGGTTGGATTGTTTGACCATGAGAACTTTGAGAACAGCTTCGATGAAAGCCATTTCAAATCGGAGATGAGTGCTGAAGATGCAAGCCGAGCTAGCAGTTTCAACGAGCTTGTGAACAAGTATGGTGAATTCTTCCAGTCGGTGTTGGCAAAAGCTTTGGACATTCAAGTTGTTGACTCAGCTGCCCATAAGGTGCTAATGTTGACACAAGAATGCAAGCTAGAAGACTTCCAGGAGCTGACGCGAGACATGGAGTCGACGACCGTCCTATCAAGGGATGAAAAGCAAGAAGCTTTGGACGAGGCAAGGAAGAGCTTGCTTTCATGGTATGAGAGAGTTATTCTTGAGACGATTGAAAGGATCAAGATGAAACGAACCACTATGGATTACGATATGAAGATGCTCAAGATTCTGGATGTGACATTGAAAGATGTTTTTCTCAAAGGAAAGAGGCACTTGATTCCTCTCTCTTCCTTCATCGAGAATGATCATTGTGTTTACAATCGGATCAGCCTCGTTGACTTGATTCAGCAAGTGCGCCAAGCTTTGCTGGTGGAATACCCAGTTGACCTGCAGAACGCTCGCGATGGCGAATTTCTGGATACAGAAGAAGACTGGCAGAGTCTGTTTGACAAGGTTGTGAGTGACTGGCATGGCGAGAATCAATTTAGCGGGACTCTCGTGCTCTACGTCATTCCCAAGCAGCAAAGGACTCATCACTTGATGGGCGTACCCCGACATGTCGACATGCATCACCATCATGATGAAGTTCAACTGATCTGCTCGACAGTGATTTTAGAACGCACTCTCCCAGGCACCGCGAGACGAGACATAGACTTGCAGCCGTTGAAAGATGTCATCGCGACATGTCAGAGCCATACAGTTGCTGTCTCAGGCATCAGAACCTCCATGGCATGGTCCCTCGTTCGACAGCTCCTCTGCAACATGTTTGGCTGCTGTGTGCTGTTGGAATACACCCCCTTTGACATTGCTGGAAACCTGGAGAAACAAGGAAAGGATGGACAGGGGAAGGGAAAAGTGCGGAAGCCACCCAAGAGCAGCAGGGGGCTAGCGAGCAAACACTCGTCAACCAAGACGATCCGGTCAGAAGCCGAGTGGAGAGAAGCGATCTCGCGGGTGGTGATAGACTCCAAGACTTACAACATCCTTGGCAGAAAGTTCTGCGTGGACTTGCTCCTTGATGCAGTACAGGACCTGAAGCCTCATACTAGTAGAACTTGCGCCTGCTGATGGTCAACTGTGAAGTACTATTCAGAAATAAAATTTCAACAGTTGACGTGTGGCTCGGCCAGACAATCTCACTGTCTACTCAAAGTTAAGAACGAGGACAATCAGGAGAGTCCGTCGAGCCTCCGGTCACCAGTACCTGCAATGCCGATCGGACGGCCGCGTGACTCACGGCCCGTGCTGGTACTAAGGCTGCGGGACAGGCTGCGGGGCCAGCTGCGGGCAGTGGCTGCCGGGGGCTGGCCGGGGGCAGGGCCCGGCCGGCCAGCAGGGCGGCCAAGGAGACTGCAGAGGGGATGCAGGAGGGGATGTGGGCCGGGCTTGGGCTGCTGCTGGGGCTGGGACAGGGCCCGGGGGCTGGGATGTCAGTGTGGGATGCTGGTGGGATGTGGGCCATCGATTGTATGGGGCTATCAGTGCTTTGACAGCTGTCGCATCACCAACTTGAAATGAGCGGCAGCGAAGACGAAGAGTATGAGACGGGAAGGTGAGAAGAGAGATGGAGCGATGTCGGTAGTGTGAGGCTTGTTCTGCTTGAGATGAGTGGTCGACGTCTGCCTCCCAAAATTTTCTCCCCTTCTGCTTTCAAACTTTCTCTTTTTTGGTTGTCATTTTCTCGATCCCGTGATGTCATGTTTTCAAACACAATTGATACTGTTCACTTCAGCGTTATGCTTCCAAATAAGATCGTCGCAGCAATTGATACTGAATGTCAATGATACAGGCCAGTGGTGATAGACAATGGCAGTGGAAGAATCAAAGCTGGTTTTGCTGATGATGAGGTACCTCACAACCTACTAGCTTCACTACAGGTTAATTTGCGCAACAGGCTCCTCGGTGTGTCTTTCCATCCGTTGTAGGACGTCCAAAGCAGAAGGGTGTCATGGTGGGAGCAGGACAACGGGACTGTTATGTTGGCGATGATGCGCAGGCAAAGAGAGGAATCCTGAAGCTGAATTACCCCATTCAGCACGGTAAAACATCTAGCGAACCTCATAGCAGATGCATCGCTTGACTCGTTTGCAGGAGTTGTGACCAACTGGGACGACATGGAGAAGATCTGGCATCACACTATTTTCAATGGTGACCGGCGAGCGTGTGAATGATTCATGTGCATGATTGACGTTCGTACAGAGCTTCGAGTTATACCGGAAGAACATCCTGTCCTATTGACGGAGGCTCCTCTGAATCCCAAAGCCAACAGAGAGAAGCTGTGTGAGATTTTCTTCGAAGTTTTCAACTGCCCTGTAAGCAGTAACTCCTCTGTCCTTCTGCTCATGATGACCTAACCGCAGGCCTTCTACGTCGCAGTGCAAGCAGTAATGTCTTTGTATTCCTCGGGAAGAACAACAGGAATAGTGCTGGATGCTGGTGACCAAGCTGTAGTTTTGATTCCTTCGCTTGACTGACGTCAACAACAGGTGATGGAGTTTCACATACTGTACCAATCTATGAAGGCTATGCTCTTCCTCATGCCATTCTCCGTCTGGATTTGGCTGGTCGTGATCTGACGGAATACATGTGCAAACTTTTGACGGAAAGGTGACCAATCATTCTTGAAACGCCTTGCTAGCAAATTCAATCCGTTTGAAGGGGATATTCTTTCTCGACATCTGCAGAGCAAGAGATTGCTCGCGATATCAAAGAAAAACTCTGTATGAAGATCTTGTACATTTGTAGTTCAAAATGTGTAACCCTCAGTAGGCTTTGTAGCGCTGGACTTTGATGAAGCCATGAAGAAAGCCGCTGAATCCAATGACCTGGAGAAATCTTACGAAATGCCAGATGGACAGGTAACACTCAACCAGAAGTTTCGACCAGCTGTTGAAACATGACAGGTCATCGCAATTGGGAATGAGCGATTCCGTTGCCCTGAAGCCCTTTTCAAACCCTCTCTCATCGGGCTGGAGAACCCAGGCGTCCATGAGATGACGTACAACAGGTTGTCTGTCTCACGAATTAGGCAATTCAACCTCACGCGTCCTCAGCATCATGAAGTGTGATGTCGATATCCGTAAGGTAGGTTCCGCTGACACCTGTTCTTTGCTGTATTTCAGCTGCTGACCGACACATTACTTAGGACCTGTATTCCAATATCATCATATCTGGAGGAACAACCATGTATGAAGGACTTCCAGAACGATTGCAGAAGGAGATCACTGCCCTTGCCCCACCTACAATGAAAATCAAAGTCATCGCGGGAGCGGAGGTGAATGCTTTCCATATTGCTCACAGGACACTAAAAGTCTCCCAGCGCCAGTTCTCTGTGTTCTGCGGTGCAGCTATCCTGGCCTCGCTTACCACGTAAGGCACTTCTCTTTAATTCTAGGATACGTAACGCGTGAAAAGTTTCCAAGATATGTGGATTTCGGTAGATGATTACAAGAACTTTGGTAAGACCATCGTTCATCGCAAGTGCTTTTAATAGACAAGGTAAGAAAGAGTGTCAGCCGAATGTTATAGCTGCGCTAATAAAAATTTGCAACTGAAGCAATTGACCTGCGAATTACCGAAAGCCTACATCATCGATGTTTGCTTGCTACACCACCACAAGCTAGACAAAAAGCCCAGTTCTATGCTGAATCACAAAAGTGACGCACACGTAGATCAATCTCCGTGTAAGTAAATTCACATAGGAAATCCTCCTGTTGAAAACCTGACCGACAAATGTCATAACGAAGCGAAACGAGGACGAGACTCACTCTTCTGGGTACTTGACCTTCACTGTTGTCAACCAATCACCTGCAGAGGTTGGCAGCAGACCCATCGAACCGAATCTGATGAAACACTTATTTTCCCTGCCAGTCATTCTAAAGTTCAAACCTGTTCGTAATATATAGCAGCACTCCAAGTTGGCACGCAATGAAAACGAGCTTGTGGATGAGCAAATCAACGCGCAATTCCTTCGCAGTCTCTTCAATAGCCTTGAAAGCTGCAGGCATGCTTTTATCGGAGTTAAGTCATAAGAGCATGAGTACCAGGTCCAATAGACATCAACCCACGAATGGGGCCCATCAGCTGGTAAAAAGTGAAGATTATGTTCATGATATGAACACCGGAGCCCATCATCCACATCATAAAGGCTGATCAAGCGTGAGTTGAAAAAATGTGAAAACAAACCTTTGAAACCCACACCTGTCATCATGAACTGCTTTCCTGGTTGCAAGGCGACGTCCCATGCTCGTTTCTCGATGAACTCTCGTTTCTTCTCAATCGTGATCACCTTTTTAACCTGTGCTGAGTCCTCACGGGGTTCTAATTGTCCTGTCGGCTCGATAGCTCCCGACACCGTAAGCGCGTTGCGCTCACTACGGGGGAGACCATCGACTCCGAAGACCCAACGACGACTTGGGAAATTCGGCGCCATGGAAGGTCTGAGGAACAAAGAAGTCAAAGCTTGTTGATTTGTCTATCAGTCAAAGATCAGTGTGAGAGAACGGGCACATCAACATATTGGCGCTAGCTGTTCAAGGACTCATTGCATCTCATCAGAACAAAACAGATCGAGGCTGCACAAGAGCAGATGAAAGTAAGGGGCATGAATCGCAGGAAGAGAATAAGCGAGAAGGCACAAGACAACATGAAGCAGTGCAGGGCAGCTTGTGCCCCCCCTCTCTCCTCACTGGCTGCTCTCTACTTCCCTCCTCCCTCCATCGCTTCTGTCCATTCTCGCACGCAGCCTTGCTACACGTTACATCATAGTTTCACTACTGTAACCGACCGGCAGGGAAGGACCGGGGCCCGGGCGCGGCCATTGGCTTTTTTTTTATTTAGGGGCCCAAGGTTGACTGAAAATATTTTTTCTAGAAGTTGACTGGAACGATTTGACACAACGACCGCCAGCACCAGGGAAAGGATAATGGAGGGAGCAACGCGGAGCGATGAGAGGAGCCTCGAAATCTGCATGGTTGACTGATCGCTGCCAATGACCTTAGGGCAGTGTCCCTTGAGTCTCGTGGTGAGAACTTGAAGCTTCAAGCCTGCTCGAAAACAAGGTTTGAACCGTCACGGTAGCGCTGACATCTTCAAAGCATCCTTCCAACTTGATCGTCAGTGGTCTCGAGCTTGGCGCAGGCCGTTCAAGAGAGGATACCATTCAATGTCCGAAGAGAAAGAGACTGGCAGTGGGTCCACTGAAGATCGGCCACGCCCCGCCACGCCGGATGGGTCTACACCGAACAAGTTCATACAAATATCAGATCGCTTGTTGTCAGCATTGATAAGATTTGTTCTTGCGGTCACTCGGTCCTTTTTGAGTTTGATTGGATGGCGAAAAAATCAAGAGGATCGGAACAAAGAAGCAACATGCAAGGCTGCTCAGTCCAAAACTCTTGACTCTGACCAAGAGGCAGGCCCAATTTTCGATCGGATGGCCCCAAGCACCAAATCAAACAGTTTGAGTGGCAGGGAAGAAGGTGTCTCAACAGCATCTACTCAAAGCGCTTGTGCCACAGGAAAAAAGAAATCCATATCAAACTTTGAGCTCAGGCGGCTAAACCTCCGCTGCAAGATCTTGGAAAACCCCAACGAAGCGTCAGTTTGTAGCTGCTGGCGGTGTGTGAAGCGCATGAAGTCTGAGCTCTTCTCTTCATTCGAGTTTGCTAAATCTCAGGGTCATATAGTTGTGACATCGGAGGGTCAATCTATGTTTCAGCAGGAGCGTAAGAAGCGTCACTCTCTAACTTGATGTCTAGCTGTGTGCTCTGCAAACAGCACCAGCTCGCGTGCTCCAAATGTCTCGTGTACAGTCCAAACTCTAAACAGTTCAAACGTCAGATCCAGAGCTCTTCCTGTCAACTTTGATCGAGTTCAAGTGCTAATCGGCTTTTCCCTGTGACTTGTTTTCTAGCCTGACTTCTAAATCTAGTAAACTCTTCCAGCAAGTGAAGGGGACGCCTGATTCAGACCTGTTTGAATTTACTTTCTAATGAGACATCGATCATCTCCTGCTTGTTATTGCCTTGTCGTTCTTGGATGGCACCGTTGATCTCAACCCTAACCTCATCTCCTTCTTTGCCACTGACGTCTCAACATCTTGAACGACTTTTCGGTTTGTTGTCTCTTTCATCTTCGAATCAGCCTTGATGCCTTGCCCAGACGTTGCGAGAGGTTTCAAAGGTTCTGACGTCAAGTGAGGTCGATAGCATTCGTAGACATGAGATTACCTTCCACTTGAAGCATAGACTCCATAGTGGGAACAAGATGCCGCATGTTCTGTACCTACACACCCACGCACGTCATGACCCTCTCATCTCCAGCAGTCGTTATTACCATTCTTTTGAGGTGTTCGGAGTTGAAGCCAAACTTCGACAGTGTCATCCAGACCTGAGCGAACTTGAGACCTCTGCAGCAAACATTTCTATGCACCTTTCCCAGCGACACTTTTTCCCACCAATGTTGGATACGTTGAATGACCTCTGGCAACAAAGCGGCCATCCGCACTCGGAGATCACGAGCGGCGGAAGACCCTTGGAGTATACCACTATGCGGGAAGTGAGCGCACAGAGAAAAGAAAGATACCTCCTACCGATAAGGAAACTTGCGGTTTAAAGCCTCCATCTCTCCTATTGATAAGAGGTGATTGCCGTCTCCCAGAACAAGAATTGACTCCAGATCGAAGGCTTTGCACTCAGTCATCAATCGGAAGGCAGAGATCATCAAGAAGTCTATGATCTCAGGATCTTTCTGGCTGAAGTCCATTCTGCTCTGGTCAGAGCGAGATCTGCCGAACCAGTCTGCAAGCGAGGGAGCTGATCTCCTATTGGTGTAATCATGAAAGATCAAGAAGTGAGTTCCTCCCTCCTGCGATGTCTGTACAATCACATAGTTCTTGCTGCCATCAGTGCCCAACCAGTGAGCAGAAAGGTTTTTCCTTCTAAGCTTCCCATCCAGAAGGATTCTTCTAGCTTTCATGCTGTTGAGTCCAAATACAGGTTTCAAGGCATCGATCATGGTTTGAATTAGCCCAAACGTCGGATCTGATTCGACTTCTTTGATCACTACTTGTTCCCAACTGTCCTGCAAGCCACATGTCAATATGCGTTGGAAACTTTAGAGAAAAATTACCGTTCCAGGCGACTCACAGAAATCAGCAAAGAAACAAACTCTTTCAGAAGGTGATTTTGGAGTGCAAGGCTGCAAATTCTTCAAGACTTGAGAGAATTCGATCATTGCACCATTGAATAAAAACAGAGATTCGTCATCAAGTGGCGTATCGCGGTTCGAAGATTTCAAGTTCCACACGCCAGGTGATGGCGTTCCTCTTCCTCTATCTATCGAGGAGAATCGTAAGCCCTGCATGATCAACGAAATGCTCTCCGAGTCTGAAAGTGCATCAAGTGCTCCGCGCTGGTGCACGAGATGGGACATGGATAGCTTGCCAAGCTGCCTACTCTTGTTTTGACTGTAAAAGGCTTGAGAAGTCCCTTCAGCTTCCATGTGATGATCTGGACTCTCACGTCTGGAGGGAAGATGAGAATAAAGGAGGGGACTATTCAAGGCGACTAATTGCGACTGAGATGACTTGAAGCTCTCCCATCCCGCTGTATTCTGTCTCGTATGCTCGAACGCACGCGAATCCAACGGACTGTCAGGCGGCGAGTCCATGCCGTCCAACACCAGGCCATTCTCACCTACCACAATCAGTTGACTGTCGTAGAAAACCTTACCACTCTGTGTGAATGAATATGTCAGGCAGACAACACGAGGTACAGGTATCACCTTTGACGGTTGATTGAGTTTCAAAACTTCGTCAATGGACTTGAGAGGAGCCCGAGAGAGAGAGATGTCAACCCCGGCGACGTTCTTGGGCACTTCAATTGTGTTCCATATAGGGCGATCGATGAGGGGGACTGAGATGGATCGACCACGAGGAGTGTCGGAGGCTCCGTTCCTGTCATCAAGCAACTCATCCACGAGCTGTGACGTCCCGTACAAGTATTTCTCTCCTGTTTCCACCGACGCCATCTGACTTTTTGATCGCCTGAGTTCGCTTATTCGCACTCGAGTTAACATCTCGACCACCTCCGGTGTATCCCAATCTTCCGGCTCCGTGTTCAGAAACTGAGCTCTCATTCCCTGTTTGGACAGCGCAAGTTTCTGCTCAGAGGACACAAACGGTTGAATTTCTGAAACATACTCTCGCTTGTATGGTTCAGGGACTTGACCCCATTCGTCAAACGAGTCTGGAGCAAGAAACTTGGGTTTGTGTTTCTCTCTGAACAGAAAGTTTGGCGGCCTTCGCTCTCTCCTCGCCCACGGCGGCACATTTTTGCTGTTTAGCACGATCGAGAGGTTGCTGCTTTCCACCTCTTCTGACTGCTCCGAAGGTCTCATAGTGGGAGGAGGGAGCTTCGAAGAAAAATGAAATCCAGACGACTGAAAAGGTTGAATGGTTTGATTTTCATCGACAGAACCAGCATGATCAGAAGCACGTGAAGCAGCACTCGAAAGGATAGGGGAGAAGGCTTGCGACCCAGACAGGTTTGATGAGACTCTAGGTTGAGAATACTCTCGCATCTCATTCCATTTCCTCCCTCCAACTTTGATCAAACGTCTTGAGTCAAATTCGTTGACTTCTCGCTTTTGAAGTACGCCATTATGCCTTGAAAACAAGTACAGGACTCCTTCGCTTGAGTTGTCTTCTGACTTCTCCTCGAAGCAAGTGTTGAACACTCCGTCCACCTGATACGGCCCAAGAAAGTTCAAATCGCCATAAAAGCCCTGAGCAAAAGCCTTGGCAGCGATGCTCTTCCAGATTTCCAATCCATACTTGGTTCTCATTTCAAGCAACTGATCGTTTCCTGTCTCTCTTTCAACATCTTCTGTCGCTACAGTCTCGACCAGCAGAGGCTCCTCCGCTTCTTCCTTCTCCCCGCTGCTTGGAAGGCTCAAGTTTGCGGGAGGAAGCTTTCGGATATCACGCTGGCTGGCAAGAAGGAGGTGATAGCGTGGACCGGCGTAGTCAATGTTCTCCACGGGAAAGTCGAGAGTCAATCCGCGGAGCTGATGGCCTCGCAGTGTATCCCATTCGAAGAGTTCAAAGGGAGGGTTGAAGGAGAGGAAGCGAGTCCCGTCATGGCTGGGCCTAATGACGCTCACGGGTCCCATATGCCCTTCAAGGGTGTCAACTGGGACGAGAACCGGCTCCTTGTCGAAGTTGTCGACCGCGAGCACTTGCACTAGACCGTCACTGAAGCCAATCGCGAAGACCTGCAGCAAGATGTTTGAGTCATCACTGTCAAGAATGAACATTCACCTCTTGCTGTGCAGGTCGAAGGGTAAATAAAGAGTTCGAGGTGACCTGCGAAAGTTTAAAACTTGTTCAAAGCATGAAGCGAAATCTACCGGGACAGATCGGAGACGCAGACGGAAAAAGGCCCCAGCCTTCATCTCTTCTAAGTTCCAGAACGAAATGGAAGGAGCACTTTCGAAGCCCCCGGCAGAGGTTACAACAATCAATATCCGCAAGTGATCGACGCAGTGAAGTCCGATGATTGGGAGGCCTTCCGGTACCTTGATCGTCGCTTGCTCTTTAGACCTCGACTCTACCCATGAGTCCCATATCCTCAATATACCATTGTTGTAGCCAGATATGAGATGGAGAACATCTGAGGAGCCTGTTTCTTGCGATTCATCCTCAATGGAGGATTGGTGCCTCAGCGACTCGGTTCTCAGCCGCACTCTGGAAGTGAAGGTGAAGCAACTTAACTTTGTCCCATCGTCTGCTGCCATCGCTGCTGTTGAATCCACTGATCCGTTGAAAGGAGTGCCATATGTGCACGTGCAGCTGCCGTCCTCGGAGTCGAGGATGTCAATAGATCCATCCGCCCAGTATGCTGCCAAGTAACGAGTGCGATCAATGACCTGAATCCCCGCTGGAATCTCGAAGAAGTAGGGCTTTCGAGTTAGAACTCGGCGTTGAGTGCTCTTCTTTGCTTTCGACTTGTGATTTCCTTCTCGCTTCTCTCTTTCTTTCTGTACACGGGCTATGATTCGTTTCGCCATGAGCGATCGTTTCTCGGTTGCAGACATGCTCTTCTTGACTTGTTTCTTCTTTTTGAGCCTCTTCTTCTTCCTCGCCATGCCTTGTAAATGATCGCCGGCGCCCTCTCCTGTAACTAAGATGTCTCGAGCGACTGAGGGCTCGATCACATTCATCAAACTCCCGTCCCTCCCACTGCAAAGCGCAATCAGACAACATCCACACGAACGCATCTCAACAACCTAAAAACTTCGATGACTCCATTGCTAGAGAGGCATACAACTTTTGCATTCCTCTGCTCACGCTGTTTGCTATTCAAGGACCATTGCGAGTCTTTACGTCCAGTCTGTTCGGAGGAGTGACTCCAAGCGTGCATCGCTTTGAGATCCATCAGAGTCCCGCTAGTGCTACTGAATTGCTCGCATTCCATTGTCATTGAAAAGACTCGCACAAGGAAATCTTGTTGAAGAAGAAGCAGAGAGCGGCCGCTTTCAACTTGAAACATTTGCAAGCTGGTAATCGACAAGTGTTGCTTAGCTTTGTTTCCGTCGCCTTCCATCTCGCCCTCTTCGTGTGTTGCCATATTGTTCTCATTTCCTTGCAACTGACAGCCAAAGTCAGAGATAATTAAGAGGTGAACGAGATCCATACAGAGGGCTCGCTTTGCTTGGCATAGAGCGGGTTGCAAGGAAATTGAGATATCTTAACAGCTTGCTCTGCGTTCCAACATGAAATAACGTTCAAATCTGTAGTGAAGACCATAACACAGCCAATGTCGGAGTCATATGCAAGCTCTGTAACAGCAATGTCTGCTGTAGCGATGAACTCAACCTAGCAAGAACTTCAGACAAGTGCCTCATTCCTTACATCGTTACTCACCAAGAGTCGCATCCCATCGGATCGCAACACCCACACCTTGATATTGCCTTGCATATCACCAGACACTACTCTGTGTTCATATGCAAGCTTGTAGGTGCATAAGGACGTGATTTTATGCGAGTGAGCAGCTTCATGGCGGCAGATCTCTTTGGAGCTTCCCAAGCTCCATAGGACCATCTTGTTATCCGCAGAGCCTATGACAACTTCAAGCTCCTCATTCACCGTGATCTTCTCCATCCACAGGCCGGAGTTCCACGGTTTTAGTGCAGTGAAAATGATGTTTGGTATAGGTCTCATTGTTTTAGCGTCGCGTGATTTCTCTGCTGAGATCTTGAAAACTTTGAGAAGGTTATCAGTACCACATACGATGAGCTCTGACCGCGAATGGCAAAAAGCTTCGCACAGCAGGTGTCTATCATGTGATTGCAAGGTTCCACAGATGATCAGGTTCACGAAATCTGCTGCCCACACCAACCCTGATTTTGAGACTGCCAGATAACATCCTAAGGCCTGACATGCGAAAAGACTTCTGCATGCTCGAACAACGCCATCAGCAGATGGTGGGATCTTGGTCCTCTCAAGTTCTTCCTTTGAGCGTAAAGACCAAAGTTGGATCTCGCCGCCAGAGTACTTCCCATTCTTGACATGTGTGTTGGTGACAGTGCAAAGCCGAGACCTTTTTACATCGATTGAGCACGCTTGAATTCCTTGAATCTTCGGCATAACAACCAGGCAAGTGAAGAGCGGTCGAGATAATGAAGACTCATCTTCATCACTTGTCTCAATTTCGTCCTCTTCACTACCTTGTGTGCTGTCATCATCATCCTCCATGATCCGTAAAATAATTCGGGATTCAGGACATTGCGCCAAGTTTTTCAACCGCCTTTTGTAACCGACGAAATAACGAAGGAATAGGGTTTTCGGGTTTTCGGGTCACGTTTTCGGGTTTTCGGGTTTTCGGGTTTTCGGGTTTTCGGGTTTTCGGGTTTTCAGGTTTTCGGGTTTAGGGTTTAGGGTTTAGGGTTTAGGGCTTAGGGTTTAGGGTTTAGGGTTTAGGGTTTAGGGTTTAGGGTTTAGGGTTTAGGGTTTAGGAGGCCGCCCCTTCCCGAGGCAGGCCGCCCCTTCCCGAGGCAGGCCGCCCCTTCCCGAGGCAGGCCGCCCCTTCCCGAGGCAGGCCGCCCATTCCCGAGGCAGGCCGCCCGTTCCCGAGGCAGGCCGCCCGTTCCCGAGGCAGGCCGCCCCTTCCCGAGGCAGGCCGCCCCTTCCCGAGGCAGGCCGCCCCTTCCCGAGGCAGGCCGCCCCTTCCCGAGGCAGGCCGCCCCTTCCCGAGGCAGGCCGCCCCTTCCCGAGGCAGGCCGCCCCTTCCCGAGGCAGGCCGCCCATTCCCGAGGCAGGCCGCCCATTCCCGAGGCAGGCCGCCCCTTCCCGAGGCAGGCCGCCCCTTCCCGAGGCAGGCCGCCCCTTCCCGAGGCAGGCCGCCCATTCCCGAGGCAGGCCGCCCATTCCCGAGGCAGGCCGCCCCTTCCCGAGGCAGGCCGCCCCTTCCCGAGGCATGCACATCCGCGGCGCGTAGGGAGAGCGCAAGGGGACCGGAGGAAGCTGCGAGCAAGTTCTTGGTATAGTTCAAACAGCTTCTAAGCATGGTACTACAGTATGATGAGAGCGTTCGCAACCTGCTGTATCGGAGATCATGCCAATACACGCAGGGCGAGCGCTCTGGAGGCCACGTCGAGGAAGTCGCCGACCTCGTCGAGAGGGTGAAGAGCTTCGCGAAGCGGTATCCTGGTAGTAGGACAGCTCAGGCTTGCAGAGCTGAGGAGGGATGCACTCCCGACGCTATCGCTGAAGCCATCCGCTCGACATGTCGGCAGGCGAGACGCGACTCAATTGAAGACTCTCTGAGTGAATGGAGCTCAGAGTATAGAGCATGGTTTATTCAACAGATGGAGGAGGCCAAGAAACAGAATGTTGAGACATACATCGGCACCGAAGGCACCGAGGGGACCTCCTTTATCTCCATGACTCTCCTAGCGATTTCTTTGAGGTATGTTCGACAAGAAGACAACAAGAAATCGAAGATTATGCAGGTAGGTCTCATGGTAGAGTCAGTCGACGGAGTCGACAAGGCCATCATTTGGAAAGCACCTTACAGTCCTGAGACTCGCGGCAGTCCCTGCCTACATGTCAGTCTCTGTATCTCTCCTTCGGACCGAAGCAGCCATGGAGCTATGGGAAGGCAGGAGAGTCTTCTTCATAGACGGCAGATCTTTCAGAGTCCGCCATCCGGTTTTAGGCTTTAGGGTT